GGGAAAAGAATATTATTCTATCATCGAACAAAATGGGTCACTATATTTCCCAGAAAAAAGAAAAAACAAAACAAAACAAAAAAAAAAACTTGAATTCTATGTATTTCCTTTCAGGCCTAGCACAGACATAAAAAACAATAAATTGGCCAACCATATTCTTCAGGCATATAATTTTCTTTCTTCCCAAAGGGGACACTCCCTGGGAAAATACAAATAACTTCTAATTTCAAAACCCTTCAACACAAAAAGAAAATAGGCCACCTTGACCAGAGCACAAAATAATCTTTTCCAAGAGGACTTGAATGAGCACTTCATCCAAGAAAAAAAAAAAAAAATTACAAGATTTTTTTTACTACTTTATTTTGTTTCATTTTTAAATACTTTTATAGCCATGAAAAAAATATTGATGAATCAATTTTTCCAAAATAAAACCATGATGTCTTTTAACTTTAGCCTAAAAATGGATCCCCATGTCTAGTATTTTAGAAATAGTAACACTGTGGCAAAGTGTGGCTGAGAGGCGTGCTCAGGAATACACAATGTTTCCAACTTTGGGGGTAATCTTTCCACCCACAAGGCATTGATTTTCTACTATAAAGTTACCTACAAATCCCAAACTGTTTCTGTCCTATTAGACATAAATAAATTTCTGTAATTCAAAGAGGCGTAGTTTTCATTACAGCAACTGTAATCAGCTTTCATTCAGGAACCTAATTATTTCCCATTCAAAGGAAGTACATTTTGCTCTTGGCTGACACTTCATTTTCCATCTCCTTCCTAATAATAAACAGTACCATTATTGAGTGATTGCTATGCGCCTTGGTCCTTTCCACTATCTTCCAAGCTAGCTTTTTTTTTTTTTTTTTTTTTTATCCTCACCCGAGGACATTTTTCCATTTTTTTGTTCAGATAGAGTGATAGGGAGAGAGAGGAAGAGAGAGAGAGAAACATCGATGTGAAAGGAACACATCGAGTGGCCGCCACCGGCACAACCCAACCAGGGCCGGGGACAAACTGTAACCGAGGTACATGCCCTTAGCGGGAACCGAACCGGGTCTCTCTGGACCGCAGGCCGACGCTCTAACCGCTGAGCCAAACCGGCCAGGGCCCAAGCTAGCTTTTATTATCCACATTTTACAGAAGAAAAGACTGAGAGGGCTCAGAGATGTTAAGTAATTATCCCTAAATACAGAGCAATTAGTGGCAGAAATCAGAATCGCACCAGTGGTGTGTATGACTCCTAAACCTTTGGTCTCTACTCTGCCTCACTTCCCCTTACCTGCATAAGTTATTTTATCAAGTTAGAGCACAGATGCTATTTCTTGTTCATAACAACAGGACTACTTTCAATTTGGGGCAGAAAGGGGTTGTAAAACAAATTAATTTTTTATTGCACTTGATAAGGATCCAAAAATTACCATGAATTTTTCTATAAAAATAAACTTGGAATATGAGGCTGAGTACACATTACTACATAATATGACCTACATTTTCTAAGAGATCTTGTTACTAATCAGTATTAAGGGATCTTGTCTATTTATTTATCTAATTTAGAACCCAGGTAGAAACCTTGTTAGAGACAACACTTAGTGATCCAAGAACCAAGTTTTGAAACAACAATGCGTAGGTATCTGTGATAAAATATAAATTTCAGGAATTTTACGTAGATGCTCTAAAAAAATCTGCCCATGTTCTTACACTCAGAGGCCCACACTGTTTTTTAAAGTTGCTTTCATACACTTTATCAAGTTCAAACTAGGTGACATAACATGCTTTAGAAAATCTAGGGCTTATTTTTAAAAGATTAGGTGCATAAAATCTCAGCGTGCATACTACCCTTTTGAACTGTTGCCATCTTCCTGAGAGCCTCCAGTGTCAAAACAACAGGCAAGGTTTTTCATGTGGCCACTGGCTGCCCGAACCATTTGCTGGCAGGAGCGCTCAAGACCAGCTGAGCCTTGGGAAAAATACCCAGAAGATGAACAGACAGAGAGAATTCTGGGGGCTCCAAGCTGTCTCGGGCTAGACCCTGCCTCTGGCTCCTTCCCTCTCCATCGGGGTGCAGCAGTGAGACCCCAGCCTGGTCCACGTGTCCGGAGGAGTCCGAGTAGAGGGCTGCTGTGCAGGTCACAGTGCTACTGTGTCCAAGCGGACGCAAGGCCAGGCTCTCCCTCTATGTCTCTCCTTCTTGTGGGCCTGAATGAAATCCTGGTCTTCTGGCTGGGAGCTGACCCAAGGCTACTTAGCTGTTGGGAATGGTGGGATCTTGCATTCCCTCTGACCAGTCAGTCCATTTGTTCTCTTCAGATGAGCTAACCAGTGCCTTAAGAGAAGGAATCCCCACATTCAATCCTCTCGTACCCACCTGAGCTTGTCCTCTCTACCGGGGCTACCTCTCAAGCTGGAGCAAAAGAGCTGGCTGAGGGGAGATGCACCGAGGAGGACCCAGCCCAGCCCCAAGTCACCTGAGTAGCAGCGTTCCCTTGGTCCTCTCATCCTCTCTCCACCCCAGCCTGCTCCCTCAGAGGCCTTGACCTCTGGGGCCCCATCTGCCTCCAGCCGTCCCCATTTCCGTGGGTCGGCATGGTAGGGTTGAGCTGGCCTGCTTCCTTGCTGACTGCCTGTGTGACACTGGGAATCACTCCATTCTCTGAGGCTGAGCTCACATTCCAGGCACCGTAGAAATTGACGTGTGACGTCATGTAAGTTGAAGGTGCACAACATATATCAAACAACACGCTGTAAGCCTTAAACTTACCAATGTGGCATGCCAGTTATATCTCAATAAAAATAGGTAAATGAATAAACGAAGGCCCACTCTGAGGAAACAGCTGCAAGGCACTGAGACACGTGGCAGGTAGAACCGTTTTAATGTTATCTTTGAGAATCTTCACAGGAAGGCAAGCCTGCAGTTACTAGAGTGGAGAGTTCTCTCATCTGGAGAGAAAAATAAAGTGGGATCCCAACCTCACTCTTTAAACCAGAAAAGAATACCATATTTTAAAATACAACAGCAAAAACCATAAACAAACTGAAAATAAAGTGCTGCCTGGAATAACAGCACTGTAAACAAATGAGAATAATATTTGCAACATGCAAGAAAAAATAATAAAAGTCGATTCCATTAACATACAATTAACTATCCTAAACCAAGTTGAAAAGACTAACACTCCACAAGATAAAGAATGTGAACACTGCCCTGGCCTGTTTGGCTCAGCGGTTGGAGCTCAGCCTGCGATACAGAGAGACCCGGGTTCGGTTCCCGCTAAGGGCATGTACCTCGGTTGCAGTTTGTCCCCGGCCCTGGTTGGTCGTGTGGGTGGCAGCCACTCGATGTGTCCCTTTCACTTCGATGTTTCTCTCTCTCTCTTCCTCTCTCTCCCTCCCGCTCTATCTGAACAAAAAATGAAAAAATGTCCTTGGGTGAGGATAAAAAAAAGAATGTGAACACTTAACAGGACAGGAAATTACTCATCTGCTTAAATAAAAGATGCTCAAAATTACCCAAAATGAAAGAAATGCGAATTAAAACTACAGGACAATAACCACTTCCATTTATCAGGTTGATAAAGACCAGTATGTTTGCTAACTCCCTGAGTTGAGGAGGAGACAGGAAAATGGGTGCTTTCATGGACAGCTGATGGGAGTGCCAACTGGAATACTCCTCTCGGGAGACCACTGGCAGTGATGAGCAAAAGTACACACACCCTTTCCTTCAAAATTCCCACTTCTGGGAATATATACTGCATACACTCTTGAATATGAGCTAAAAGCTGTATGTATAAGCATATTCATTGCAGTGGTTTTTGCAATAGGAAAAGATTGGAAAGAATTTAAGGATATGTAAGTAAGGTTTGTTACACAAATAAAGCTCTATGGAGACAACAAACACTGTGTAGGTATTAGCAAAACCAGTAAGGACACTCCACTTGCACTAATATGTAAGGGCTGCCAAGATGGGTAAATAAATATGTTTTTAAAAACATAAAATAATGTTTAGATACTATCTTTTTGTATTTTAGGATATTTATGTCTACGTGTGTGTGTGTGTATGTGTGTGTGTGTGTATTATCCCCCCAAAACATATACACAACCTTGAATAATTACAAAGCCAGTGTTCATTAAAATACATTTCATTTCAAAATGTAATATAATCTACAAACACCCTATATACATTTTGGGGGGATACCCAGGTAAACCAGCATCTAAGGCGCAGTTTTAAAAGGGGCATTTATTTTTCTCTACATATCTCTTAATTGCACCTTTTGAATTTTATAGCATGTGCATGATTACTTATTTCTTTTTCTTTTAAGTGTAGGGGCTTTGTGGTCAATCAGCTCTGTACCAAGTCCCATTTCTACCACTCTAGACAGGTTACTTAACCTCCCCTCTTTACAATGAGGATAATACCCTACATAGAAAGTGTTTACCCTACATAGAAAGTGTTAAAAGGACAAATCTTAAACAACAGTAATGGTTTGCTTGTGGTAGATTTTTCAGGCATTTTGAAGGAGGGAGAAACATCGATGTGAGAGGGACACATCGACTGGTTGCCTCTGGCACGACCTTCACCAGCGCCGGGGACGAAGCGCAACTGAGGTATGTGCCCTTGACCACAATCGAACCCTCAACTCTTAGGTCCATGGGCTGATGCTCTAACCGCTGAGCCAAACTGGCCAGGGTGACAGTTGTTGTTTTGCTACCGAGCACTCCTTTCCCTTCTTCTTGCCATCATAGTACATATTCCTTTGGAGAACTACCATCCTCCCAATTCTCAAACCAGTTGTTCTGAGTGGACCTGATGGTTGTACTGTGGGTAGACATGGAATTTAGACCTGGCCAATGAGAGCTTTGCATCCCTTGGTCCCAAGAAGGTAGAAAGCAAGTTTGGCAAGAATGTCATCAACATACCGTGAACAGTGAGTGCTATTCCCAGTTGCATCTCTTCCTGCCCAGACCCATATATGCATTGGTCACTGGTGAACAGATTTTACCTTCTTTGTGGACCCCAAAATCACAAGCAGTTGACGTCTAACGCGCATCACAGTGCTGTCTTCAATATCCTTTACATTCTTCTTTGTCAGCTGCTTCTGTGCAACGAGTTACATGGTAACACCTACAATTTTGTGAGAATCAGCACATTTCTTTACTTCTTTTGGTAAAATTTTGCAGTGTTTTGAAGTGTAAAGTATTTTCCTTTCTGGCGTGCCTTCGTAATTGGTTCCCTATGGTATCTGGGATCAGATTCTACTTGTGGGTCTGAAAGAAATGTAAGTAGAATGGAACATGCAGCAAATTCGCATCCCCAGGGAAGGTGGCTACGTCGGCAAAGCTCTCTACAGGTCTGTAAATCGAGGAAAGACTAGGACACAGGGTAGAAGGGACTACTTCTGCTGTCACGAGAAGGTCAATGGGTGGAGTTTGGTGAGCACAATTTTCCAAATCCTCCCCAGGATCACCTCTGCAAATCTCAGAATCTTACTCTTTCCCAAGCACTGCATTTTCACGTAAGAAACCTGGCCAGTCTTTGAATTCAACCTAAACTGTAATTTAACATGCCATAGGGCCAGACTCTGTCATTGATCTCTGGCTACCAACAGCCACGAGAAACAAAATTCTTGTAAGGCTAAAAATTCCCTGGTTCTCTAACCACATGGAGTGGATAATTAAAGCCCCGAGTTTCTCCTTTCTTCGTTTACTCTCTCCAGTGCATTTTGCAGCACCCAGGTCACCTATTTGTCACGTCATCACACTGCGCGTCAGTCCTTATCTCGCAGTCACTAGAGCCATGTCTCTATGTGCACTTCAAAGCAGGTCATACAAGTAATAAGCAACTATTTCACCACCGGCTATACTGCTCAAACTCTATTATCAACCGGGATGCAGTCACAGACAACAGAAAACACTCTACTTTAAGGTGAAAATAATTTTTAAAAAATTCTTTTTCTTTATTGATTTTAGAGAGAGAGGAAAGGAGAGGGAGAGAGAGATAGAAACATCGATGAGAGAGAACATCGACTGGCCACCTCCTGCATGCCCCCCACTGGGGATTTGACCCACAACCCAGGCATGTGCCCTGACCGGGAATCGAACCGGTGACCTCTTGGTGCGTGAGTTGATGCTCAACCACTGAGCCACACCGGTTAGGTGGTAAAAATAATTTAAACGAGGGCATTTGGTCCTTATAAAATCATTGAAAAAATGGAGAATTGGACTCCAGAGTAGCCTCCAGAAATAATTCCAGAACAATTCTGTAACACTGGCCCACCAAGGGAGCTGCTACCTCGACCACATTTAGGGAAACTGAGAATCTGGAAGCTGTGCCTGGAACTACTGCCCTTACCTTAGCTGCAGTCTGGGGCTCTGGAAGGAGTAACTGTCAGCTGCAGAACCATCCGGCACCTCCTAGGTTCTGGACTACACTCCAGCCCCATAAAGCTGTTCTAAATGAGCGGAGGCTTCTGCAGCAGGGAATCCCAGTTCCTGCCCAGTCGTGCCAGCCAGCAAGATCAGCAGAAAGGGAAGAACTCAGGTTTTGTGCACCGCCATCTGATTGCAGGACTGGTTCCTGAGCCCTTGACTCAGAGTTCTCTGAGAGGTATGGATTTTACTTTCCCCACTTCTGTGGTTCAGGAAGTCATATGAGGGAGACTATATCCCCCATGAAATGCCAAAGGAAAATTCTAACAAGCTTGAAAGAAATGACCTCACTTATTCTTAGATTCGTAATAAATGTGGTTCTTGACTATTTCATATTTACAAAATGTTAATAAGTTACATTCTAAGTTGAACAACAGCCTAAGCCCATGTTTGTCCCAGCGGACTTCCAATGCGTTGGGCCTGTACCAGTTGGTGAGCTTCCTTTTCTATGTGGTTAGTTGAGGGCTAAATTCTTAGCAAAGTAACTTCTAGGGATTTGTGAACTGAAAGGTCCTATAAATATCCCTTAAAGTAATGTTTAAGGCTTGGCCAGTGTGGCTCAGTGGTTAGAGAGTTGGCCCATGCACTGAAGGGTTGCAGGTTCAATTCCTGGTCAAGGGCACGTACCTGGGTTGCAAGTTCGATCCCTGGACCTGGTCAGGGCATGTGCAGGAGGCAACCAATGAATGTATCTCTCTCACATCAATGTTCCTCTCTTTTTCTCTCTCTCCTACTTCTCCCTCCCTTCCACTCTCTCTAAAAAAAAAAAATCAGTGGAAAAAATATCCTTGGGTGAGGATTAACAACAACAAAAAATAATGTTTAAGTTTATTTAGATAAGTTTTGGGGTAAAGTTTCATGTCTCAGTGGAAAGACTAAGGAAATATTTCAGATACTTAGATATAACAGAGGAATATTACCTACTCTGAGTGGTTTTTTAAAAAAATCTGTTTCTTAAGACACATGTACAGATCTTTTTATTTATAGATGACAAAGAAGGAAAATTATATCATGATTAGGTAATTTTCCAAAATAATGAATATTAAAGAGACTTATATGAAAGGGAATGATAGAATCAATGAGAGCCTGAGGCACATGGAAAACCCACATTTGTAAATAAAGTCAGATATCTGCAGTCTCAGGTGAGAGCTACACAGCCGCATCTCATGGTTTCATGTTTTTAGAGTATAGACTAATCACAGAAGAGAAAAACTTTATACTTTTTAACCATTTATGCTAATGGTTTGGCTTTTAAAAGCAAAAACAAATTGTGTACAACTATGTTCAATGGATTGAAATAAAAATGAGGAGGAAACCAAAGGCATTGTAACCATGTTCAGAACCTAATAAATGCGCAGCAGTGAAAAACTGTATAATGTTTTAAATTGTTCTTTAATTGATCTCTATATTTAGGCACATCCTCACTAATACTTTGGAGATAAGCCAGTTCATTTACAAATCAGTTTGTTTTATTTTTCCTCACCTGAGGATATTTTTCCTGTTTATCATCAGATAGAGTAGGAGGGAGGAAAAAAGAGAGAGAAAGAGGAAGAGAGAAACATCAACGTGAGAGAGACACATCAACTGGTTGCCTCCTGCATGACTCGACCAGGGCTGGGGACTAACCACAACCAAGGTACATGCCCTTAACTGGAATGGAACCCATGACTCATTGGTCCACAGGCTGACGCTCTAACCACTGAGCGAACCAGCCTGAGCTACAAATCAGGTTTTTTTTTATCCTCACCTGAGGACATTTTTCCATTTTTTGTTCAGATAAAGTGGGAGGGAGAGAGAGAGAGAGAAACATCAATGTGAAAGGGACACATCGAGCCCTGGCCAGTTTGGCTCAGCGGTTAGGGCATCAGCCTGCGGTCCAGAGAGACCCGGGTTCGGTTCCCACTAAGGGCACGTACTTCGGTTGCAGTTTGTCCCCGGCCCTGGTTGGTTGTGCGGGTGGCAGCCACTAGATGTGTCCCTTCACGTCGATGTTTCTCTCTCTCTCTCCCTTCCTCTCTCTCCCTCCCACTCTATCTGTACAAAAAATGGAAAAATATCCTCTGGTGAGGATAAAAAAAAAAGAAAGGGACACATCGAGTGGTTGCCACCTGCAGAACCCAACCAGGGTCGGGGACAAACTGCAACCAAGATACGTGCCTTTAGCGGGAACCGAACCCGAGTCTCTCTGGACCGCAGGCCGATGCTCTAACCACTGAGCAAAACCTGCCAGGGCAGTTTTTGTTTTTTTTTCTTAATTAACTTTTATAGTTAGGGTATACCGTTTGCAATTTATTTGCTTACATTTATATTCTGCATTTTTATAAATTTATTCCACACATTACCAACTTGGAAAGAACAAGGAAATTCATTTTAAACTCATATTCACTGGAAGAATGTCAAGGCCCAGATCTGGACACTGTGGCTGAGAACTGTGGGCTCAGTGTCCTTGGTCGGGCAATGATATTATGGCCCTGTGGTCCTTATCACCATCATCTCAGTTCCTCATAGCTTTGTGGTTATTTTAAGTCCATGTGTGTTCTTGAATAACCGACCTCATCTTCTTAATGTGACCTGAGTGTGGTCTTTGTACTTATATATCCAAGAGTATAACCTAACAAATGGGTTATTATAATAGCAAAAGAACCAGAAAAGCAAGAGGAATAAGAAAAAAGAGGCAATCTGTTAGAAGAAAAGGGGACCCAACATCTTCTTCAGTGTTCAATTCGAAGAAAACTTATAGCTTACTTCTTAGATCTGCTGCGTGACTCCATCGCAAAGTCTCTCCTTCCAGCATACGGCTTGAACAAACCCACCGACTTTCCAACAGACTGATGTCTCCACCCAGCCACTCATTCCAGAGTTATAGTTATTGAGTCAAATGCCTTGGCCATTCTAAGAAAATTCCACAACGAACAATTACTGTACTTGGCAGGAAGCCTGGTAATACCCAGCTAGAACTTTATTATTTTCTTGATTTAAAAATACATTTCTAAAATATTTTCAGATTTATTGTTACTTAGGATAGTGTATGATCAAAATATAAAGTAAAGAAAGAGCTAAAAGAAGTAATTTAAGTTAATAAATAGATAATAATATTCTTAATCAGTATACTATTGAATTATAATCTAAATATAATTGAGTCCCTGTCCCCAAATGGCCTATTCTTGAATAACAAATAAAAGTAATTGGAAACTTTATTAAGTCTCTTGGTGGGGAAAGATGCCTAAAGACAAATACTGTATTCTTAATATAAGCCACATGACTTAACATTCATATATATATATATATATATATATATATAGTTTTCTTACTCCTCATCTTTTTAAAAATTTTATTTTTCTTTATTGATTTTTTAGAAAGAGAGAGGGAGAGGAGGAGATAGAAACATTGATGAGAGAGAACATCGATTGGCCACCTCCTGCATGCCCCCCACTGGGGATGGGGCCCACAACCTGGGCATGTGCCCTGACTGGGAATCGAACCAGCAACCTCTTGATGCATGGATTGATGCTCAACCACTGAGCCATACCGGCCAGGCTTACTCCTTATCTCTTTACAATACTCAACTCAGGCCCTTGACATAGTTCTCCCACTGCCAACCTTTCCGTCCTCTACCTCCTTCCAGAGAGGGACCCTCCCACCAGTCTCTCACCAATCGCTCCAACTACCTACAGAGACTTCCCGTGCTGCATGCAGCCCTCTGTCAAGTTCATCCTCGCTTAGTGCTTGACTGCCTTTCTCATAAGAATGATCCCATCACCTGAAATCTGCATAGAAAATGGAGATCCAGCTTGTAAGATTGTTTTCTCCTTGGAAGACAACAAAGGGGCGAAGGAAGCTGTGGATATTTTCAAAGTAATTCTATTTTCTCTGTTACCTTTGCCCCATCGTATTTTTAAGTACCACTATCAAGAGGAGAATGCCATATGTGTTTGTGTAGCTCACCCCCACCACTCACCACACTCCAGATTGCTTTTCTTCTTCTTTGCTTGGGTTAGACAGGCTTCCCACCAGGCAATGTGCAAATGTGTACCAGGCGTATGTCCACCTATGTTTCTCCTAGAACATCAGAAAGGAAATGCATCAGCAGTAGGCTTTTTTTTTTTTTTTTATCCTCACCCGAGGACATTTTTTGTTCAGATAGAGTGGGAGGGAGAGAGAGGAAGAGAGAGAGAGAGAAACATCGACGTGAAGGGACACATCGAGTGGCTGCCACCCGCACGACCAACCAGGGCCAGGGACAAACTGCAACCGAGGTTCGTGCCCTTAGTGGGAACCGAACCCGGGTCTCTCGGGACCGCAGGCCGACGCTCTAACCGCTGAGCCAAACCGGCCAGGGCAGCAGTAGGCTTTTAATGCTCACCCACCATGCCCACCCAGGGGCCTTGTTTTCATAACATGAGGAGGAAGGTAATTTCCCAGAATTCTTTCTAGCACATGGGCACCTGAGCAGTAGATGACCTGCATCAGCACAGCTGACAGAGTGTGGGACCAAACCGAGCCACAGAGTTTGGCAAATCAGAATTGGCCCAGAAAAACTTTTCTCCCATTCTGGGTACTATAAAATATAGGGAGTTGGGTAGCTGAAAAATCATGCTGAGGTTAAATAAAGGGGAACACACCCCACCTTGGCACTCCCCTGGCAAGACAGGGACTCCTTAGGGTCATAAACCTCACTTAAAAGCACTCACTTTCAAGAAGCTAAGTCAGCCTTGCCTCATCTCTTCCTCAAGTCTCCTCCAGACCTGGGGTTGAGGCTCACTTAGCTGCAATGCAGGGCAGCTACAGTCATGTCTCAGTCTACTTCCTCCTGTTTAGCTTTACTAATCACAAACATTTAGGGGGATTCTGGTGGATTATAACAAAACTGGAGCCTATTTAATGTTTTCTAAGATTTTTCATTCTTCTTCTGGATCAATCCCTTTCTGAGGAGCTTGATCCAGTCAATTCTGCGCCTATATCATACTCGATTGCCCCCTAGAGGATGACTCATTTCAGTGGTTTCTGAAGGAATGCAAAAGCCGAGTTTTTACCACCTTACAGTTATGAACTTGATATATGGATTCCAGCAACGCTCCACCCTGTCATGAGATCATTCTAAAGCAGTAAGGAAGTCCACTATGGAAAGGAAAGTTCTGTGTGGCTTTGAGGCCACTGGAAGTATAGAGAACATTTTTCTGTCTCCAAGGAGGTCTACTAAAGCAGATTTCAGTCATTCACTAACCACACCTAAAATTCTATTTCTTCACTTCCTGGTGAAACATCTCCCATGAATTTCTCAAATTCCTGGTAGCAAGTAGCCTGTATCAGTAAATCCAGAAATTTTTTTACTTCAAGTCTCCCAGGGGAAGCTGTGTTCCGAGGGCATGATGTTTGTGAAAGTGGAATAGAGAAATTAAACTAATTTCTTTTCCTTTAGAAATTATCCCGAGAAATTGAGAGTCTGTGGAGAATGAATTAAAAACCAAGCTTCTAGATACCCTCACTACAATGCTGCACAAATCTAGTGCCACATTTAGAGCATCCTTTCCCCAAAGTGACATCTCTACAGCACATTGTTGGCTTTTGGTATTACTCTAAAAACCACTGGCACTTGTTCTGGGCCCATTTCCTCCTTCATAACTATTCTTTTAACAGTCTGTCAAGCATGGGGTAAGTGTTTGGTTCTAGCAATTATTTTACACTAGACTCAAAATTCCAAACACTTGTCCCGAACGTGTCACTCAAACAGAACCTATGATCCATACTAACCCAGCAGGATGTCAGTTCAATAAACAACTGTCAATTACCCCAATTGTCATAAGGCAATTAGAAACTTGACTCAGCCATTTTCTGATAAGGAAATGAGGAGACTGCCTCAATTTGTTTTCACTCATCACTTGTTTATACAACTGATCATTAGCACAGGGTTATAGCACAGTATACATAGTAAAAGTATACTGGTAAATAAAAGTGACTTACGTTTATGCTTATTCTTTGTTCCTATAGGCTGTTGTAGGTGATAGTTTTTCTTTCTGAAAGCAAACCTTCAATGGAGACACTTAGAGAAAAGCCTATTTGATTGTGTACATAAGTGTCAACACAAACAAAGTCTGCTGTAGTAATTTGTGGATTTCCTCTGTGGTTTGCTTGAAAGATCACTAGATGATCACGTAGCACTTCACATATGAAAATACCACCATTTGGATTGCAGCTGGAGCCTCTCTCAGCAGGGGCTCTGCAAAGTCCCACAACACATCACAGCATTTTAAAGAGCCCTAACATGTAACTCAAATAGAGTCTAAGCTCCACAATTTAGTATTAGGTCATCTTAGGGTATTCCTTTTCCTCATCTTTTCCACAATTCGCCATGCGGTCTTTGTTGAGCTGCCCCAAAACCATTCTTAACAAAAGGCCACTCACAAAATACCAGTCCTAAGAAGATGGGACTAACTACTCAGTTAAATGAATCATTTAATTTACAAATAAAAATGTAAACAGAATAACTCTAAAACTATTTAATCCACCATAAAACTGCATTGTTTACAATTAAGTTACCCTTACACTTTCAAATTAAGAAACATGTAGATTTTGGTACATGTCAATGTGAGGGCTTGACTAAAGCCAGTTTGGTGTGGTCAAGTATTGGGCAAGATTCCCCATTCACCTCTGCCAAGACCCTGTTATTTCAGTGAGATTAAGGTTCCAATTGCTTCAGCCCAAGACCTCTCTGGAGCAGACACTGCTATTCTGGTTAAATTATGCCCATTTCTTTCCCAAGCGAGTAAATACTTAAGTTCCCATGCTGTGACAGCTGAAGTGACTTTTCATTTGGCACACTGATTCTGGGAGTGCAATACATGTTTGTTGAAACTATGCTGGGCTGGGACAAAGTATTTTTATGATTATGACTTATTAACATGTATTGGGAACAGATACTATACTTGGTCCACACACAATACATAAAGGATATCATCATTCCTACAGATGGAACTAAGCGGCTTGGGTGACTATCTATTGATGAAATTTATATTCTTATAGAAATATGTACCCCTTATTGGGAAGACAGATATTGAACATAAAATTACAGGTGAGGCCAGCTTTACAAAGAAGTACAGTGTACTAGGTATGTGCAAAGCGATGTAAAGTTTCTACACTGAACGTTACAGAAATTAAGGGTCTGAATAAGTGAAGTCAAACACCATGTTTATGGATTGAAAGATTCATATTGTTAAAATGTAAATTGTCTACAAATTGATCTATAGATTCCGTGCAGCCTCAGTCAGAAATCCAGCAGTTTTTTAGGTAGAGATTGACAAGCTATTTCTCAGTTGTAGATGGAAATGCAAAGACCCTAAAACAGCCCAAGCATTTTTGAAAAATATTATAAAATTGGAGGATTTTCGCTACCTGATTTCAAGACTTACAATTATCAAGGCTATATGGTACTGGCATAAGAATAAGTAAGCAGGTCCGTGGGGGGAAACAAAGGAAGTCCAGAAACAGAAAAGCACATATAAGGTAAATAGATCTTTGACGAACGTGCCAAGGGGCATACTGGAAAAAAATAGTCTTTTCAACAAATAGTACTGTGTCAACTAGATATCCATGTGGAAATAAATAAATGTCAACTCCTATCTCATACTATACCCAAAAGTGTTTTTAAATGGACCGTAGACCTAAACACAAAGTGAAAATTATAAAGCTTCTAGAAGAAAACATGGAAAAAAATATTGTGGACTTGGATTAGAGAAAGACTTCTTAGACAGGATACAATAACTATAAAAGAAAACAAGTTGATAAAATAGTTTTTATAAAAATTACAGTCTTCTTTTCTTCACAAGACATCATTTAAAAAATAAAAAGGTAAGCCTGCAGAGAAGAAACATGTAGATTTTGGTACATGTCAATGTGAGGGCTTGACTTGACATATGTAAAGTATATGTCTCATATAAATCTTATATTCAGAATGTATGAAAATCTCCTACACCCCAATAGATATAAAAAACTAAAACTTGGGCAAAAGATTGGAATATATATTTTATAAATGTGTACCACATGAAAAATAGCACATGAAAGGAATGCTCAGACTCACTAGTCATTAAGAAAATGCAGATTAAACAACAATGAGATAACACTTCGTACCCAATGGCTAAGATGGGAAAAGACTGAATCAGAGGTCGGCAGCGATGTAGAGCAATATGAACGCTACAGGTGGCTGGTAGAGATGTAAAATAATACAAGTACTTATAAAAATATTTTAGAGTTTCTTATAAAAATATTTTAAAGTTTCTTATAAAATTAAACATGTACCTCTTCTATATATACAGCAATTGTACCTCTGAGTATTTACCAAAAGAAATTTTAAAAAATTACATCCATGGGATAATTTGTAGATGAATGCTCAATAGCCCCAATCTGAAAAACAAACAAACAACAAATAAAGTATTGTATGTTGATAGCATGAAATTCTACTAGTTAAGAAAAACAAAAGAACTTCTAATTGAGTGACAGCATGGAAGAATCTTACAGACATGCTGGGCAAAAGAAGAGACAGAAATGGTATCTGCTGTATGAAGTTCTAGAATAGATCAAACTAATCGAGGAGGGTGGGGTGGGTGGAGATCGGATTGGTTTCCTGGGTGGGGCAGGGGTGAGTGGGCTCACAGGAACTCCATGGAAAGATTGAATTACTCTATATCTTGATTGTGGTACCATTTGCAAAGGCATATACACCTGTTAAAATACATTACACTATACACTTGAAGTTGTGCATCTTATTTTATATAAATTATATCTCAACAAAGTTGATTTATTTTTCAAAGAATTTTCTTGTCTCAAAGTAATATAACAGGCACTTAAAAAGTAAAAAATGTCCTTTTTCTATTATTATAGAAAATACCTTTCTGCATGATTGTCTATCACAAACAGTCTTTGTTGACTTTTAAATTCTAATGTCCAAGTAACAGTGACAACAGTTACTCTATTTAGTGCCTAATATAAGCTAGATTCTCTGTCACACACTTATAAATATTTTATTCTCACAACAACCCTGCAAGATAGATCTTATTATCTTTATTTTTGGTGATGAAATCCAAGTCTCTGAATAGTTAAGTAATTTGTTCAAGAACACCCTGTTAATAAACAGTAGAGCCCAGCCAGTGTGGTTCAGTGGTTGAGCATCGACCCATGCACCAAGAGGTCACTGGTTCGATTCCCGGTCAGGGCACATGCCCAGGTTGTGGGCCCGATCCCCAGTGGGGGGCATGCAGGAGATGGCCAATCGATGTTCTCTCTCATCGATGTTTCTATTTCTCTCTCCTTCTCCCTTCCTCACTCTTTAAAAATTAATAAAGAAAAAAAATGTTAAAAAAATAAAAATAAACAGTAGAGGTAGCAGTTATCCAAGGACTCTCTCCATCACCCATGTTCTTTCTACTTGTCACCTTCCAGCTAATTCATGTCAGATTTATCCCAAAGTCATTTACCCATGGACACTAGGTAAACTATTCAATTAATTGGCATGACCACAATCTCCTTGTCATGTTACCTTTAGTGAACCACTCATTTAATAATTAGCTCAATAATTAAAACAAAAAAAGAAAACCAAAAAAACAAATTCTTACCCTTTTTCTATTTCACATGGCAAGAGTTTAATATGGTGTTTATAACAGGATAGACCTGGGTTCAAGATCTAGCTTTGCCAATTTTTAACTGAGCATATTGCTTAATCTCTGTAAGCTTCTATTTCTTATATTAAATGAAAGTATTAATAACCACCTCATTGGGTTGTGGTGAGGATAAAGTGAGGTGATACATGTAAGCACTTTGCATTGTGCTAGGAATATAGTGAATGACAAGACATAAAAATGCTTGTTATTAATGAGAAGACAGGTATTCTCCTGTTAGAGAGGCAGCTCAATTGCTTATTTTTCTTATTATTTCATATTTCCTTCTCTACCAGGGATTTATTTAGCAAGCTTTAAAAGGCCCCATGTATTCAACTTACTTATCTGGACATCAGAGATTCTTTAGGCAAAAATCATGTTGAGGTTGTATGCATTCATTTTGCACTTAATATTTATTTAATATTTTATTTAATATTTTTACTCAAACAATTCATTTAATATTTTTCATATGCTATAGTATTATAGGCACTTATATTACTTGCAAAAAGTTATATAGACCCTTGAGAATAAAGTATAAAAGATATGTCATTGTTGTGTTCTCATAACTAGCCCAGAATAATGGTCAAACTATCCAGTGCCATTATGTGACCTATAGGAGACACAATACACAGACTATGAGCTTCAGTTTTTTCCTTTATATATTCCACCTTCTGGAAGAGACCCATGAAATAGTTGAAATGTAAGAAAAGAAAACAGGTAGAAGCCAAAGAAACCAATGTTTACAACAATGTACTAACTATAACCAACTGGGCCTTCTTCAGAAGACTCTCCTAGCTTTAAAAGCCATTATATAAAATTCTTTGATTCTCTGCTTCAGATGTTATATAATTGAGGGAAAGTAAGATGATGTAATGGGTAGTATGCTAATACTAACAGGAAGGGAAAGTATGATTCTCAAAGTTGATCTCAAACACAATTAGGAAACAGGTTTTCATCTTCACTGCCCCATCAAAATCTTCCTCCCACTCTGTCTTTATTTCAAACATACATAACACCTTCCAATGTTCTGGGAACTATCATTTTTATAGGGAAGAAAAAAACCCACTCCATATAATTTGCAATAGGTTGTTAGTAATTTGCTGTCTTGCTCCTCCTGGGCCCCCAAAGAAAGCAGTGAACCTTGGGTTAAGTTAAAGCAAAGGGCTGATTCTGGTAGATTGCAATTACTGCGTGTGACCAGCAGATAAGAAAGATGCCTTAGTTAAGCATCAATGTCCTTCTCACTTCTACACTACCATCTCAGAGGATCATGCCCAGGTTATATTGAATTAAATATCTTTTAGGGTTCCAGGACAGTAACACTGAATCCAGGAAGAGCCGAGGAGCAGCAAACAAGCTGGGATGTAGACCCAGAGCATACCGTACTCTATCAGTTAAAAACAGAAACGACCTCGTGCACCCCACAGCATGAAGAACAGTTGCCTCATTGTCATTGGACAGTCTGTCCGGCCCAATCAAATCACTTGGACTTCACTTGTAGGCAGTGTTGCCAACTGGCTGATTCCTTATTTTTGTGGTCAATATAACCAAATGACTTTGAACTCTGATTCACTAAATTTCAAAGACCCATTCTCCTATCACAACTTCACCTCTTCTCATTTCTTCCATTTTATTAGAGTTACTAACATTATTTACTTCATCACATATGAATATGCATTGAAGATACCAGAATGCAATACTTTTCCATTCCCTAGGGTTAAGTTCCACTTTTCCATTCCCTAGGTGGCCCAAGGGAATAGGTAACCAAACAAGATATATTTAAAATTCATTATTTCTGGAATTCTCCTACCCAGTCTGTTTACAGATTTTTCCCCCAGTTCAGTCTTGACACACAGACAAGTGTGTACCAACCGTCTACTTTTTATATTTGGGTGAATACCTGGAAGTGGTATGTGGCAGAAGACAAGAATGAGAAGGGAACACAAGCACACTGTTAACTTCAAGACAACTCTCCTTCCTTTTTCTCCAAGTAAAAAGGTTTCTGGTTCTTTATTTCCCTCTGTTACCCATTCTAAATTACCTTTGGAAAGTGTGCTCATGCCCTCATTCACCCCTCAGTCCATCCCCCTTGTGTTGGATGCTATACCCACTCTTTTCTCAATCTTTTTAATATGTTTTATTGATTTTTTAGAGAGAGAGGAAGGGAAAGGATAGAAACATTGATGTGAGAAACATCCATTGGCTGCCTCCTGCACGCCCCCTACTGGGGACAGAGCCTGCAATCAGGGAATGTGTCCTGACCAAAAATTGAACCATACCCTCTCAGTCCATGGGATGATGCTCAATCCACTAAGCCACACCACTTAGGCAAGACTCTTACTTTATTTCCCCTACTATTTAAGTCTCTTTTTCTACTTGACTGATAATAGTAATAATTGTGATCAAAGTTTCTAACTTGAGATATCAAATTTCACTCCCCTCACCATTAGGACCTTTTCTCAATCCTCACCCCCTCTTACAGATCACCCCCTTACAGATCTCTAATTTCACACTTTCTTGTTTCTACTCTCTGTGATGTTTTCAAGCTACATGGCATGAAGCACATATGAGCTTTAGTCTTTACCAAAGAACACGGTTTGTATGAGCTTTCTGAGCCCCAAGCAAACTAATTTATGCTCAACCCAGAGCCCTCTGACAATGGCATTGGTGTTCTGGGATTGGTCATTTAGTAACACTGCTATACGGTTTGGGCTTTCTGTATAACACTATTTTCCATTTATAGGAATTATCCCCAAAACATAAATATAGTTAACTATCAGAAATATAGCCTATGACAACTTTCACTTTTTGGTCAATGGGCCAGACATCACCATTTAAGTCCTTAATATTAATAGCTTAGCACCTTAAAAAAAATGTCATCATTCCATCTCCCTCTTATGATATATACTGCAAACTTATCCACCAAAACAGTCTCAAGGTCAAAGTGAAATCAGCTGTAGCTCTTACCAAAACTAAAGCTCTCTTGATGTAGCTATATCATTATTATCATTTCAGTGTTCTTTAGAAGGAATTATGGTTTCTCCAATATTGTGAATAACAGTTTTTTTCATTAACCAGAGAGCACAATGTGTGTCTAGACTATCTCCCATAGGGCTCACAAACACTTTCAATTGTCCCCAATATGGTAGCCACATGTTTGTTTTCGGTTGGCTGAGTCTTAAGCCAGAGTTCAGAGAAGGAGGAAGAGAGAAGGAACCAACTAAGCATCTCTATAGGATATGTCACAAAGGGTCATGTGTTTCCCCCTAAAGTAACGTGTTTAAAAGAAAATAAATACTGCACATTGTATCTGTTCTCCTTAGTTATTTATACTCTGATAAGACATTTTTAACTCTATTAGAGCTAATTTTTAAAAATGCTGAACCTTATTCAGCTATAAATCTTGAGAATGAGTGAATCCATTGGTATTCTTTGAGTGCTCATGTGTGCCAATTACCATTGTGGCATACTACACTTAGGAGTGTAAATGTGTTCAAAGTATTTGTAAAACAAAAAAATGAGTGTTGAATTTCACTGATGGGAAATAAGTAAAAGAGGGAAATGACAATCTGAAAACTCTAGCTCACACAGAAAACCCATCCAATGTTTTAAAATCCGACTGAAGAGTTCTTCAATTAAATATTAATAATCATAACGAAACATTATAGTGAATGATCCGAAAGTAGTTGGAATTACTTGGGCAGTCACAAAAAAATCAGAGATTTTAAAACTAGGAAAACTGCTTTAGAAAAGATTTGGATTAGTGCTTGATTCCTACAGATAACTAAGAGCCAGGGAAAGTAAATCAGCTGCCCAAAGATACACAGCTTTTTTTGTGCGAGCACCAGGATTGAAAACAAGGCTATTTTATCTGAGATCCAGCACAAACTTTCTTCCCTCCATTAGGAGCTGCTGTGGTCGGCCACTCTGACAGTGTGACTTCCACAGCAGAGGTCTTCCCTCAGGAACATGTGGTCAAGCACTTGCAGTTACAGGCTTCTCTCCTCTGGGGAATACACTGTTCGTGGGTGCACGCAGAATCTTTTTCAGATGAGAGATAATTATACTCCCTCCCTTCCTGCTACTCCTATAATTTGGCCTGTCCATTCAAATGATATGCACCTGCCTCTTTTTACTCTATCTTCTCTTTGTGGGTTTGGAGAAATCGAGCAGTTTAATTTTAACCACGGCACTGAGTCCATAAAATGACAGCTGGAGATGTCTCTGATCTTCACAGACAGAAATGACATGGTTGACCTGCCATCAGTGGGATTTGCACTTGAATTTTTATCTTCATCATATAAGCAATAGATTTGCCAATCCACTGGCAAGCTTCCATCTGATACCTCTTTGTGACCAAAGGCACTATGTGGTCATGGTCAGAGAAAATCTAACTTGACTCAAAAAGAACCTTTTACTTAAAATTGTGCGATCTGATTAATTGAGAGAACCAGCCACAACTCCCTCAGTGTTAGTCAGGGTTCTTTAGGTGGCAAACAACAGAAATTGACTATGACCAAAGGAACACATTGGAAAAAATGGAAGGAAAAGCTGAAGAACTAGGTGTAGGAAGGTACTGGCATAACACAGCTTGGGGGAATCTATATAGTAAGACCCCATAGACACTTTCTTCAGTAGTGGGAAGAGTGGACTCCAATAAATTTTTTTTATTTTTTACTTTTTTATCCTCACCCGAGGACATTTTTCCATTTTTTGTTCAGACAGAGGGGGAGGGAGAGAGAGAGAGAAACATCGACGTGAAAGGGACACATCGAGTGGTTGCCACCCGCACCACCCAACCAGGGATGGGGACAAACGCAACCAAGGTACATGCCCTTAGTGGGAACCGAACCCAGGTCTCTCTGGTTTGCAGGGCGACGCTCTAATCGCTGAGCCAAACTGGCCAGGGGACTCCAATATTCTTGACCCTTGTGTTCTTCTGCCCAAGATTCAAATTCTGGGGAGACAGTTTAATGAGCCAAGCTTGGATCTCATGACCACTATCTGAACTGGGGAAGTCTCACGAATGCTCAGTCAGTCCTACAATTCCATTGGGTAGGGGAAGTTTCTTAAAGGAAAATACAGTTGTTCTGACCAGCACAAAGGGACATGGATGCTGGGCAGTCAAGTCAGCAGATGTTCATGACACCACCAAAATGAGGTGATTAAACGTGGAGAGGCAGAGACTAACCGAGATAGCTGAATACTGAAGTATATCTAGACAACAGCTCAATGATGACACCAAAAAAGGTTATTAAAATATGGTTCTGAGCCATAGTTTTAAATCAGGTCATTTAGCAGCAATTTTCCTTTGAAATGGTTCCAGCAGTGCCAAAACTCTGCGTGGTATGTGAGTAACTGGTCCATTAAGCATCTCTTTCCTACCTCCCACCCTATCCTCCTACCCATTCTCCTCTGGCCACGCCCACCACCTCTCTTCACCAAAATCTGAATCCAAGCCTTTTCTTTATCAACCTCTTAGTTTCAATTGGAAGATCAATCAAACATCATAGGATTTTTCAACATTTAACAAATGGTGACTAACATTTTCAAAATCCAAAGTCAAACCTAATTATTAGATGTAGAAAGAGAGGGGGAAAGTCAGATAAAACGCTCATTTGAAGCTAGCTGTCTTCTGAGTGCTCTTAGACAAACTTGCTCTGGTCCCTGTTCAATGAAACTTCCTGGTAGACACTTGAGGTGAAAAATGTTTCTTCTTCCTTCATTTCCACTCAAAGTACAAATCAGGCCAGCCTTCTGAAAAAGAGACAGATTTATTCATCCGTTTTAGTGTTACTGGCTTTTGTTCCCTGCAAAATTTTGCTTTTAGTTATTAAAATATCCACTGTAGGAAACAAATTTGTAACCCATTTCTTGTATTACCTATACACAGAAAAACAAAATTTTATATCCTGGGGTTTATTTGCTGAGGGAATTTCCCATAAAAATGAGTGAGTATGCATCGGGAAATGTGTCTGGGTAACTCCTTATGGATAAATGTTAGTCACAATCTGTCCGCCCCCACCCCCAACTCTCGCCCCTAGCACCCTCCCCACCTCCTGACTTCCCGCCTCTCCAGGGCTGGTGACCTAATAGCATTTTTCTTCATGCATATTTTGGCGTCGCCCCATGGCCTGGCTGCCTTCGCCTGTCTGAGTCTTTTGAAATTCCTGCATGTTCGCCCCAGATTAAGCCGAGTGTGTCTCAGGATGTGTGTTCCGTTTTGTTCTTTCCCCTTAACGCTCCCTGTGCAACGTGTCTGGGGGGGAGGAGGACAGAACGGGGAGGGGAGGGAGGGGCAGAGGCGAGGAGCTGTCCCCCTTGCACGTTTCCAATCGCATTACGTGAACAAATAGCAGAGGGGTGGCCGGGCCAGAACGGCTTGTGTAACTTTGCAAACGTGCCAGAAAGTTTAAAATCTCTCCTCCTTCCTTCGCTCCAGACACTGCCGGCTCGCCGGCCGCCGCGCCGCTCCCCATCGCCGTCCAGAGCACTGGGAAAAAGGAGTGAGGCGGGTGCCACGTCCCAGCCGCTGCCTTCACTGGAGAAGGGTCTGCAGCCCACCCTCGGCGGTGCTTGGTGGGAACTACGATACCCGCGCTTCACCGCCCCCCTGGTTGAAGATTTCTCCCTCCCTCACGTGATTTCAGTCCGTTTTTCTTTTTTTCTAAGCCACGTCCTCCCGGAGCGGAGGCAATCCGGGAAAGGGAGAGATGCGCTTCGCCTGGCCCGCGCTCCTGCTGGGGCCGCTGCAGCTCTGCACGATACTGCGCTGCGCCCCGCCGGCCACCGGCCAGCAGCAGCCCCCGCGCGAGCCGCCGGCCCCCAGCGCCTGGAGCCAGAGGATCCAGTGGGAGAACAACGGGCAGGTGTTCAGCCTGCTGAGCCTGGGCTCGCAGTATCAGCCGCAGCGCCGACGGGACCCGAGCGCCACCGCCCCGGGCGCTGCCAACTCTGCTGCCCAGCAGCCGCGCACGCCGATCCTGCTGCTCCGCAACAACCGCACAGCGGGGACGCGGGCGCGGACCGCTGCCTCGTCGGGAGCCACCACCGGCCGCCCGAGGCCCGCCGCCCGCCACTGGTTCCAGGCTGGCTATTCGTCGTCCGGGGCCCGCGAAGCTGGCGCCTCGCGCGCTACTAACCGGACCGCGCAGGCAGAGCGCCCGGCGCTCAGTAACTTGAGGCCGCCTAGCCGCGTGGACGGCATGGTGGGCGACGACCCGTACAACCCTTACAAGTACTCTGATGACAACCCCTATTACAACTACTACGACACGTACGAAAGGCCCCGGCCTGGGAGCAGGTACCGGCCCGGCTACGGCACCGGCTATTTCCAGTACGGTAAGCACCCCAAGTCACCAGAACCACCCGTGCACCCCGGTTCCCAACGTGGTTGGTGGCTCCCCGACGTGGCTGCCAGGGCGCGGCAGGCCCTAGTCCCCACAGATCCGATCCCTCCCCCTGCGCCTGCAGAGGAAGCCCTGGAATCTGGTGCAAACCTCACGCCTGGCCCCTCCTGCTTGCTTTCCACGTTGCTTTGCAGCCAGGGCATCCCCCATTCTCCTGCTACCGGCAGCCCCACACTGACACAGCAGTCGGGTTGGGCAAAGGATGAGGAGTAAGGGGCATGGAGGGGCCAGTAGCCAGGGTAGGGGGCTCAGAGTTGTCTTACTTCTATGCCCATCGCCTAATGACGTTTAGGTCTCCCGGACCTGGTGCCAGATCCCTACTACATCCAGGCATCCACGTACGTGCAAAAGATGTCCATGTACAACCTGAGATGCGCGGCAGAAGAAAACTGCTTGGCCAGGTACTAGCTGGGATATCAGTGTCCCTGCTCCCCAGTCTTGGTTCAGGAGGCTGATTAGGTGCCCGGTTCTGACTACCCTTGTTCCTACAGACAAGAGTTGGGTACCAGTGGTACAAGAACTGAGAAGTAGGACTTGATCTCCTGGGCATGCTGACCTGAATTGAGAGTTACAATTTTGAAGATTTCTGGGGGTTCTGTCTTTTAAACTGCAGCACAAATCAGAGAGAAGTAGCAAACTCTTCTCTTGGAGGGTGGGGTGGGGGTGGGGGAGCCTTATGTCCGTTTTCCGAGGTGCTTCAACTTTGAAGCCAACGATTTCCAATAACCTTCTATTAAACAACTACCTGTACAATAACGTGGGGGAAAATGCTGTAATCGAATTGTTTAACACGTCCTTAAAACGATTGGGGGCGAATTTGCCAGTGTGAAACCCCTCACTGGCAAAGTTAAGTTTTCTTCATGTGTTTGAAGCCATAATTAACTTAGTTATTTGGGTGTAACTTCAGCCAGAGTAAGATCATGAGCAAGAACTTTGTTTTTCCATCAGTCCTAAAGTAAAACCATAGCAATCCGGGGAATGGATTTCTCTGCGGTTGCTGCTGGGAAACCAGCAGAGGGAGCTCGAGGATATTTTGATAGGTCTCAGAAATTTTTTTACAGTGTAAAATAAGGTCATCAACAGTATTTGAATGCATATTCACACAAAATATGTTAGAAGGAACATAGTGCTGTTTATTTGTATATTTCTCCTACTCTGACCCTTTATAACTATCAGGTTAAAGAGAGAAGGAATTGAAGCTCATCATTTTCATTCTTGAGTCTTACATCACTTGCACCATTACATTCCCTATATTATTATAGTAATGTTGTTGTTCTGAAGATAGTGAAGCTGAAAAAATTATTTGTCTAATCTGGGTGTACTCTTTCAGAGTTATTTCCCCACTTTACCTCTTAGTTAATTGTTCAAGAAATGTATTGTTAAATTCAAAGTTCTTAACAAGCCAATATGGATGCTTTTTTGAAAAACTGGGATATTTTCTGCCTGTTTCACTCATTCATGTGATTAAACTTGAATTGATTATAAATATAAAGTTTACTTATCACATGTAAATGTTTACTGCTAATTTTTTTGGTTTTACATTTAAACTGAAGATTTCCATAGTTGTCATTCATTCACCCATGCAACACGTATTCACAGAACTCTGACTACTTGCCAGGCACTCTTCTAGGATCTGGAGATTCAGCCATCGTAAGCAAATGCTCTGGTCTCTTGGAACTGGCAGCCTAGGTAGGAGGGTGGGAGGTCACCATTATTATACTGAAAAGGTTTTGCTTGTAGTTTTGTCTTTAGTTCATATTCTGTGGAAATAATAATGTTTATTTTTTTTTGCAACAACAGTTCAGCATATAGGGCGGATGTCAGAGATTATGATCACAGGGTGCTGCTAAGATTTCCCCAAAGGGTGAAAAATCAAGGGACATCAGACTTCTTACCAAGCCGACCAAGATATTCCTGGGAATGGCACAGCTGTCATCAGTAAGTGGATGGGCCTCCTGGGTACTTTTGAGCTGGTTTTCCATTTTTCAAATGATTCTTCCACAAAGGGAAAAAATTGCTGTTATTAACATTTAGAATTTTTCTTTATGTAATTTGACGTAATCAATGGAGTGTCTTTAAGATAATACATCAATTACCACACTCTGTTATCTTTTAAATTAGACACTCTAAATTAAAACTGTTGATAGGAGAGAGCAATTGGCTTTACTAGAATTTTACTCCAATATATTGCAAATAAGACTGATAAAAAAGCCCACTGCAGCCAAGATCATCTATAGTTAGCATTTAACAGCATTTAATAAAGACCACAAATTGTTATCAAAAGGGTAAGACTACAAATTGTTATCAAAAGGGTTCAGAAACCTTTCTCAAAGAAAGGTGTATATGATCTTCTCCATGAGCTGAGAAGGACCTAAGTCCATCTTTTTTTTTTTTTTTTTTAATCCTCACCCAGGGACATTTCTGCATTTATCATCAGATAGAGCAGGAGGGAGAGAGGGAGGGAGAGAGAGAGAGAAACATCGATGTGTGAGAGAGACACATCCAGTGGTTGCCACCCACACAACCCCAACCTGGGCCGGGGACAAACCACAACCGAGGTACGTGCCCTTAGCGGAAACTGAACCCAAGACTCTCCGGTCAGCAGGCTATTGCTCTAACTACTGAGCCAAACCGGCCAGGGCCTATCTCCACCTTTTAAAAGAAATATATTAATACAACTTTGCCTGTTCTGTCATAAATTCAAAGATTTCACACTCTATAATTAGCCTTGATAAATTGCCCAGGTGTTTATTGCCAGAAAATCCTGATGTGTGCCCTTAACTTTCTGCAGTTTGACCATTTCCTCCTGTTCTTTCCTTAATGTGAGGAAATGAACAGCTCAGTCCCTTCTCTTTCCTGAAATGGTCACAATAGATATGAGCACCTAATTTGCTGATAAAGTTGAATTGTTTTATTTCCAAAGAAAAGTTTAACTAGTTAAACAATAATGGTGGCTGAAGCATGCCATGTTGCCTTTTGTATCTTAGTAATGATTTTAAATATATGAGAACTCAACTTTTTAAAATCTCCCAGAAACCTCCCAAGGGTCATATGCTCTTCTTTTCTGGAATGAAACATCAGTAGTGGCAGCCAAGAGACATATACTAGAGAACATAAGGCAAATTCCACTTAAACACAGAAATTTATTGTCTATTTCTATTTGATATTCAAAAGTAAAACAGGGGACAGTGGAAAAGCAAAATACTCAAAATAGGTCATTTTTTCTCAAGTAGCAAAAAAATAAAAAAAAAATCTTACAATTTTGATAGATACTTGATGCGGCTTGGAGGGAAATCTAATATGAATCTGGCTTTGAGAAGATAAACTTGCCTGGCTGGTGTGGCTCAGTGAACTGTGTTCCATGCACCAAGAGGTCACTGGTTTGATTTCCAGTCAGGGCACATGCCCAGGTGTTGGGCTTGACCCCAGTAGGGGGCGTGCAGGAGGCAGCTGAAAGATGTAAATCAATGGATACTTTTTTTTTTTTTTTTAAAGAAAGAAGATAAACTTTATCTCAATTTTAATATGCACACAAACGTGTGAGGCAGCGGGGAAGTCATCTAAAATTCTCATTGCTTTTTCTCTGTATGTTACTGACCACTCTCTGTGTGTTGTGCGGAACATTAGACATTACCACAGCATGGATGAATTCAGCCACTACGACCTGCTTGATGCCAACACCCAGAGGAGAGTGGCCGAAGGGCACAAAGCAAGTTTTTGTCTTGAGGACACATCCTGTGACTATGGCTACCACAGGCGATTTGCATGTACTGCACACACACAGGTAGGTGGGCTCCTCACATCGGAATCCGCAGGCTTCAGAGAGAAAACAAAGTGGTCTTCTACTGTCTTTCCTCCTGCCTGTCTTTTAAAAACTGTTTCATTTAGAGGGTCTAGTCATCCAGTTAGGAAATAATTGGGAAAAGAAAAGTGATAGCTTGATGATCCAAATGATTTGCAAAGTATTTCGTCATCACAGACGGTCCCTGCATACTCATTTTGTTCCACAATCGAAAACGGCGCTTGACTCTCTCAAAGAGGTTTCCAATAGCTGCACTCAGTCTGTGTTCTTTAACAGGCTTGGTAAGTAACTATAGAAAAGATACCTGTTTTCTCACCTGCAAAACCATCCCTCCCTCCACCTACTAAGCTAAAAATAGGATACCTGGTGATTATGGTTAGCAAAAGGAGAGAAAATAGGTTTCTTAAAAAGCACTTTTAAAAACCGTCTCTTTTAATCACGCAAATAAGAGCAGAAGGATACAATTTCTTTCTTCTCCCATATATATTTAAGCCTAAAGTATAATTGATGTCAGATGTTCTTTGGATGCATTTTAAAAAATCATGCTGAACTAAGCAGTTTGTATGTCTTATAATGGGAAAATCTGTGTCAGTTAAAAGCCGTGCCAATATTTCCATAAGAAACTCTAATTTGTAAAAGGACATTATAATTTTACTCTGGCCGAAATCTTGGCAAGGAGTAGTGAATGTATGTGACTCGGCACAAAGGGATCAGCAGCTGGCACCTGGGGAAGCAAACTCTAGGGCAGTGGCAGGAAGTTTTTGGTGACCTAAATGTTATCTTTGCTTCTTTCTCTGAGCTTAGAACATCATAGCAAGGAAGGGAGAATGTATAATTCTAGATGCCCTGAGGCAGCACTTATTCTTTAAGCAAAAGAAGATGTAACCTACCTACACGTTACAGATATGCATGTATAGAAGTACCTTTTTAACGTAGTGATCTCCAAGTCCCACAGTACCTGCCTGGGCAGGCACCAGGAGTTTAACCTCTTCATTTAGTAGGAGGCAGCTGGACAGCTCACGGCTGAAATACTTGAAGCTAAGACTGCAGGTATTTATAGCACTTCTAGAAGCCCCAATTCTTGGGGTGACACCACTTCATTTTATTTATTGTTTTATTTTTTATTTTTTTTATCCTCACCCGAGGACATTTTTCCATTTTTTGTTCAGGTAGAGTGGGAGGGAGAGAGAGGAACAGAGAGAGAGAGAGAAACATCGATGTGAAGGAATACATCGAGTGGCTGCCACCTGCACAACCGACCAGGGCCGGGGACAAACTGCAACCGAGGTACGCGCCCTTAGCGGGAACCGAACCCGGGTCTCTCAGGACCGCAGGCCGACGCTCCAACCGCTGAGCCAAACCGGCCAGGGCGACACCACTTCATTTTATATGGTGGCTTCCCTGTTAATCATTCTCTGTTTGTGTCCTATTTAACTATTATTCACCAGGTCTTGTATTACAAGCAATTTATGTTTTTTGTGTTTTTCACTTAGACTGGTGTTTCATTTCAAGGAAAAAGTAATTCTCACAAAGCCCCGATATTGGCTTGGATTAGTTGTATTACAATGTTAATTAAGTATATCCAAATATAAAACTAAATATAACTTCCTTATATTTATAATTTTGCATAACTCTTAGATATCAAATTTATGTATTACACATATACAAAACTAGAAACTGTCACATTAACCTCATTAATTTAATGTAACAAACAGTTGTGTTTTGCTAAAACCAAATAGCTAATTTAGACAGCCTCAGGTAAGGTGCTACATCTAATCTGTTTTTAAAATATGACTTTGAATAGACAAAATAACTGTTTCCTTAATAGCCTTAAAAACTCCCATATTTATTTGCTAGTTCAAATAATCAAAGCTCATACTTAACGTCTGCCCTCTGAGTTATCCTAGAGTACCAATTCCAGCGTTCTTTAAAGCTCTTCTGTTCACACGAAAGAAAGATAAATCTTGTAGCATTATTTAAACCCGTATTAAAGGGGTATCTAATCCAATGAATCCCTTATAATGTCATGAATGTAGTATTAGCAACAGCAACAATAATAAGAGCTAGCACTAAGTATTTTTTATGTGCCAGAACCAGAATGATATGCTGGAATCAGAAGCCAACAATTATTCATGATATATTTACTCCTCAGCACTCTATTAATGCGTTGGTATGAACCAAAGAGGGTATATGGTTCTCATGGGGGTGGCCCAGGCACTTTTGAGTGTGGCCTGTCTGCGCTATATTATGTGCTGTACGAGAACACAACTCTTCCTCTTTCTTCCCAAATCAGGTTATAGCCAAACCAGCACTAGTAGGACATGCTTAGATGATTCTGCATCTCTTTGGTGACCAGGGTGATCTTAAGCACCAAAGCACTTTTGGGTACTGAAATTAAATGGCAGCATTGAGTTAAAATGGTTCTAGCATATACTTTTTTTTTTTTTTTAATTGATTTTACAGAAAGAGGAAGTGAGAGGGAGAGAGAGAGTGAAACATCAATGAGAGTGCCCTGGTCCATTTGGCTCAGCAGTTAGAGTGTCGGCCCACAGACCAGAGAGTCCCAGGTTTGGTTCCCACTAAGGGCACGTACCTCGGTTGCAGTTTGTCCCTGGCCTGGTTGGGGTTGTTTGGGTGGCGACCAGTCAATGTGTCTCTCTCACATCAATGTTTCTCTCTCTTCCTTAACCCCTCTCTCTCTCCTGCTCTATCTGAAGATAAATGCAAAAAAAAAAGTCCTTGGGTGAGGATAAAAAAAAAAAAAAAAAAAAAGAAACATCAATGAGAGAGAACATTGATTGGCAGCCTCCGGCATGACCCCACTGGGGATCAAGCCCACAACCTGGGCATATGTCCTGACTGGGAATTGAACTGGTGACCTCTTGGTGCATGGGTTGATGCTCAACCACTGAGCCACACTGGCCAGACAACATATGCTTTTTAATTTACTTTAGATTACCACTAGACTGAAAATACAACAGTAAAACTTCTCACGAAGAAGTAATGGAACCAAACATATACCTACAACAAAATATTTATTATAAAGAATAATCCAAAGTTTATAAACTTACATAAGTTACTTTTTAATATGCTTCAAAATATCAAGGGTATAGATATTTAGGTATGTATAATTAGTTACAATCTGTCTCTTTTTACATTGATAGTATCTGAGATAGTTTGAAAAAAATATATTAATGTGGTTCCACTTTCAACTCACTTGCTGCTATGTTTTTATTTCTAGTATGTATGTGAAATTATGGGTTGATTTTTGCTGCCTCGGAGATCTGTGAGCTTTTTATATTAGGCGGGTTTCAATCATATGTACATCTTATTGAGGGTCGGGGACATTGTAATGACCGTATATGAAGGAAACCTAGAGAGAGATGCTGTTTGCGGCTCACATAAAATGTTTATTTACATTAAATCACCACGAAGGGGGTGTTCAGAGCAACATTCTTTGCATTAATGAAAGAGAGAGGAACATTCTAAATTTTAACTCCTGTTACCAATTGGTCTTCAATAAAAATAAAGTGGCAATTTATTAAAATCCTGATGCATCGTCAGAGTAGCCACAGGTAGGTGTGAATGAATATTAGTAGATGTGGTTGGAATATAAAAGTGTGGAATAGAAAAGTGAGAAAGTATAAAGAACTCACATCGAAGGGAGTAAAAACACTGTACATCCAAGTTTACTAAATAATTAGCCTATGTTCTAATTACTAAGTAATTAGCCCCCAAAAGCAAGCTCTCATATCATGGTATCAGAAGAACAGGAATGCATCTTGAAAGCTTGTTATGTGTATTTTGACACATGTTCAAACGGTGGGTTTGTCATGTTTTATTTAGGCTATGTTTTTAATTAATATTATTCTCTTTAATAAAGTTGAATAAATGCGGAAGCCTTTCCTAGCATCGTGGTTAACTGGGTACTGTTTAGTAGTGCAGTAGCATCACTTCCTTAGCGGTTTGTTCCCCAGTGACCATAAATCTTATGTAATGTGAAAAGTTTTCCCCATAATTTTTGTATCACATATTTTTCTTTTTATTGTACCTATTGGAACATTATGATGATTCCAATAAAGATAATATGAGTTAAAAAAAGTGAAAAAAGGAAGATACCTACAGATTTCAATTTGAACAAAGTACTCCAGACTATAACTTTCTGTAGAGCAAGGACCCAAGGACCATATCTCAGCCTATAGAAGTCATTCATTTACTTCTTGATGTGAATACCCAGGCAAGTGGAATGAGGTGGGATTCATATCCTGAGACATACACTCATCCCTTTAATTCAACGATGTATTTCAGTGACTATATGAGAGAGAGGACAGTGTGGTGGTTAAGATCAGACTCTGGAGTTGATTGCCTAAACTCAAAACCAACTCAGTCATGTACAAGCTGCATATCCTTCCATGAGTTATTTGACCTACTGTGCCTCAGATTCCTTATTTGTAAAATGAAGATGATAATAGCATCTACCTTTCTAGTTCTGGGAACTGAATTTATGTATGTAACATGTTTAAAATGATCCCTGAAGAGATAATACATAGTTACTATTAGCTATTCAAAAATGCAATCATAGACCTTACCCTTAGGACCTTTAGTTACATATGTTTTTATATATAACAATGATAATTTAGAGCAGAAAAGGATAAATACTATAAAAGCTATATACACAAAAAAAGTAACATGGGGAGAGTACAAGAAGGTAATTTCCAAAAGGAGAAATTGGGGAAGGCTGGACTAAGAAGAAGACACTTGAGCTAAACTGATTATTACGTGGCTTTTAATCTTGAACTGGTGATAGTCTAGAAATTTGGGAGAGGCCTATTTTGTCACTTAAGGTTGTATTTCTCACTGGTCAGTTATGACACTTTGAAGAAGCTAGATGTACTGCTACTTATATTAGTCCTGTATCTTTTTTAGCTGGAGGTGCTATAAGGCTGAGTAATATATACTTCTCAAGGGAGATGCAATATAAGTATAGTTTAATGTCACACTTATAAGTACTGACTTAAAATTTAATTTGCAAATAATAAGCATATTCTTTAGCATACTCTCACCCTACACCATCTTTTAACATTTTTTTCTTTTGTGTGTTTTAGGGGTTGAGCCCCGGCTGTTATGATACTTACAATGCAGACATAGACTGCCAGTGGATTGACATTACAGATGTAGCACCTGGAAACTACATCCTAAAGGTAGATGCCTTGGAGGATATGTACTCGCAATTCAGTTCCACTGCATTTCAATAGCTCTCTTCCGCTGGATTCAAATGTCAAGTATTCATGGCCCCAAGAGCAATTATAAGTCTTCTAGAACTATTTGTAACTGATGCTAGATATAAGAAAAAAATTCTTAGTTTTAAAGAACTGGAAGTGAACATATACAGCCTCTCCCTAAACTGTCTCCAGAGTTTAACCACTTGGTTAACTTAACCCTGTGTGCTAGCCCTGTGACAATAGGAAAAAATTAACCGGTAGACACTGCTGATAAAATCTGAAACATGGATGATGTTTGTGTTACCAAGGTCAGCGTGAACCCCAGCTACCTGGTGCCTGAGTCGGACTATTCCAACAATGTCGTGCGCTGTGACATCCGCTACACAGGACATCATGCGTATGCCTCGGGCTGCACCATTTCACCGTGAGTCTTATTTGCCTAGCTAAGTGACACTCTTTCACAGAGCGTTTCAATTCATGAACAGGCATTACCCAGGATGTGTCTGTTTCTATCACTAGAGTTGACAAATACTCAAATGGTGGGTTTGTCATGTTTTATTTAGGCTATCTTTTTACTTAAGATTATTTTCTTCGATAAAACTGAATGAATGTGACAGTCTTTACCTTGTAACTAGACCAAAGGTAGAAATGGTCTGCACCGTCACCTCGTAGGAGCTGATCTGTTTTTGGTAATGCTGGAGAAAGGGGGATGCACTCAGGTTTTCAGCTCCCTAAAGCTGAGTTTTGAAGACAAGACACACACACAGAACACACTGTTTACCCAAAAAGCCTGTGTGGAGGCTGAATATGTAAACTATGCAATATGGTCCGGGTGATCTGGTGGGAGCCCAAACAGTGGGGTTTCCTGCTGCTGCCACAGTCCGTGAAGGAGCCCTGGAAAAATTCCTAGAGTTCTTCAAAGTACATTCTGAAAAAACACTGCCTTAAAGAATGCAGCTGCAGAAGTCAGATGGCCTGTTCTGGAGGAATCAAGAGTTCACGTATTTCAGCTCTAGAACAAGTGCTAGGGAAATGGTCCGCCAAGGGGGGCTGATTGGAGGTGCCTTCATGATTTTCTTAGTGCTGAACTCCTTTGAATGAAATCTTAGCTAGAATCCCAGCACGTTCACATTGACAGGGGTGGTGTGTTGATGGAAGTCCTTGGAGAAAGCTGGTTGGTTTCCTGCTCATCTGTCTGCCCCACCCTGACCCCATGAGCACAGCCTGCTCCGGTGCTGCTGGGTTGTCGATTCTAATGACATGTGCCACCTGTGAGTGACACCTCCTGAACAGCCAGCACACCGTTTGTGACACTGAACACACATCAGCTTTACTTTGACGTTGGAGAGGCACCGGAGGCTCTGGGTCATGCAGGAAGGTATAATAGGTACACTAGAAACTCGCAATTAATAGGAATTTCTTCCCGATGTACAAGTCAAGACAGTGGTTGGCCACGCGTGAACCTGTCATTTGTAGGTTTCCTCAAGACCACCTAAGCCCGGTTGTGCAGGTTCTGCCTTACTCCCGGGCTCCTGGCCCATGCTCCATTCACAGAGCCACATGCCACGGCTTGGGCTGCATTCACCTTGCAGGGGTGCTTTCTCCTTATTCCCATAAAGGAGCAAAGCCTGTGCTTCACAAGTATCGTCACAGCATTAAAGACAAATGAAGCTGATACCAGCAATGGGACAGTGCTGAAAAAGAGATATTAACTATGTTCTTCTAAACATGCCCAGAACACAGGAAACCTGGATGGGTTTACGACCCCTGTTGTATAGTCGATCATAATGTTAAGTGCAAATCCCCAGAAGAGCAATGTAATTGGAAAGAAAATAGATTAAAAATAAGTGGATTCATTCATTTCTCTCCATTTTTATAATTTCTTAATTTAGTTACTAATTCTCTATTCATTCACTGGTACTCTCACATGTGCACTATGTATTTACTGAGGTCCTACACTAGATATTAGAGAATAACGCAAAGATAAATAAGATTCCTGACGCTGTATTGTGCCCCTCTAGAGCCTTCTTAGAATAATTCCAATTAATTGCTTGTGAATCTCTTTGTTGAATGGTTGTCTCTTGCTCTACTCTGTCATGGCTGGGACCTAGCTCCTCATCTGCTGTGTACCCGTTGCCAGGTATACATCTGCCACCATGTCACTTCTTTTTTTTTTTTTTTTATCCTCACCAGAGGACATTTTTCTATTTTTTGTTCAGATAGAGTGGGAGGGAGAGAGAGGAAGAGAGGGAGAGAGAGAAACATCGATGTGAAAGGGACACATCGAGTGGCTGCCACCCACACGACCAACCAGGGCCGGGGACAAACTGCAACCGAGGTACGTGCCCTTAGCAGGAACCGAACCCAGGTCTCTCTGGACCACAGGCCGATGCTCTAACCGCTGAGCCAAACTGGCCAGGGCAACTTCTTATTCAATACTTGATTAATAGAGAAATTACTCTCTCTTTGGGAATTTGGAATTGAGAGGGTGAGAGAAATACATACATAACTGTAATAGAGAAACACTATGAAAAGTTCCACGTGGGGTCAAATAAAATATAGTGTGACCAGGGCCTTCGTTATAATAAGCTAGGTGACTCCCAGGTACAACCACTGACCTTCTCCTAGGACTAGGTTTGGAGAGGTCACTCTGTTGTTGCACTGAATGTGTCTTGCTTTTCATCAGTAAAATCCACTGAATTGGATATTGCCAGATATTTAGAGCAAATAAAAATTTGTTATATTGCTCCAGCCTAGAGTTGCCTTTTTTTTTTTTAACTAGTTGCCACTGACTATAAACTGTAAGAGTGGTTAAGGTAGAATTTTAATGATAAATATTGATCAGATGAAACTATAAAAGAGTTTAATGACCCACAGTTAGTGATTCATACTAAAGGAAGATCACACTTATCCACGAGTGGGAAATACTAGAAGGGCAGAAACCTTGACTTGAGAAGGAAACCCTCACCTTCAGATGACTGCCTCTTATATTTAGGTTCACTTCCAGCCTCCCTTGCTAGGGATCAGAGCTGAGAGGAAGGAGAGAGGTCCTCTGGCCAGGAAGCAGGAGTGGCTTTAGGGCAGCATTTGAATTGGGCCCTGAAGGCTGGGACGGCACTGGGAGAGTTCAGCAGAGCATGCCAGGAGTCATCACTGACCCCACATGGCAGGAAGAAACAGCAGGACGTGTTTGGAACAGCAAGTGTTCTGGTTTGGCCAGGACACATTTTGTGGAGTGAAGAGTTAGGCGGAAAGGTGGAGAAGCAAGCTGCGACCAGATCACAGAGAGCTCCGAAGAGCGAGCTAAAAAGTGTGAACTTCGTTTCTGAGGTTGTGCAGAGTCTTTAGCTTCTGGGACGGGGAGTGTACCTTGCCTCAAATTATGTGGTCAGTCTGGTGACTCTGTAAGAAGCAGCGGGTGTGATTTGGTAACATCATTGTACTTTTAAAAAATTATTTTTTCCTTATTGATTTTTAGAGAGGAAGGGAGATGTAGAGAGAGATGGAAACATCGATGAGAGAGAACACTGATTGGCCGCTTCCTGCATGCCCCGCACTGGAGATCTGGCCCACAACCTGGGCATGTGCCCTGACCGGGAATCGAACCGGCAACCTCTTGGTGCATGGGTTGACGCTCAACCACTGAGCCACACCGGCTGGGTCATTGTACCTTTTTAACTCTTAAAGACATGACCCTCTCAGTGGACGGATGTTTTTCATGTTAATAAAATGCTTGAGAGCATTCCATTGGTGTGAACAAACTGCCCAGTGAGGAAGTGTGTGCCTTTAAAGTACCCTCTTCTCCCTCCTTCCCCTCATTGCAAACGAAACGTACGGACCAGATGACTTTGTGGCCCAGGTTAGTGCTACAGTGCTACAATTACTTTCTCTTCTCACAGAAATTACTGTTTGGAAATTTATGGTATGTGATTTGGACTAAGGGCATTCTTATTTCCTTCACATGGGGAAACTGGGATCATAATATAAACACACTAATATTGATTTATTGGCTGTGATCCAGTGGCTTGCACATTAATGCCTCACTGTACATACAAAACCATGCTGGAAAAGACTGATGCAGCACAGTGCAGAGGCCCTGAGCCTGCTTCCTGCTGCGCACGCCACACTTGCTCCGTGGAGGGAACTCGCCCGGGCAGGGCTGCTGGTCTGATAAGTCCTGCTTTACTCTGGGTTATTTCAGCAGATGTCTCTTTTATCCACAAGCACCAGGCATACACTTTCTGCTACTGACATAGTTACTTTCTTTAAATCAGTGTTAAAATCAAGTTTGCCCTGGCCAGGTAGCTCAGTTGTTTTGAGCATTGTCCTGATACACCAAGGTTGTGGGTTCGGTCCCTGGTCAGGATACAAGAATTAAACAAAGAATGCATAAATAAGTTGAACAATTCATTGATGTTTTTTCTTTTCTCTCTCTCTCTCTCAAATCAATTAAAAAAAAATATTTTTTTAAATCAAGTATTACTGGATCATTTCAGAAGGTGACTGTGGAAGGTGACTACTGAAGGTGGAGGGAAAAGGATACCTCAATTTTTTCAAACTTGTCTGTTATATTCATTTATAATGTTATCAGGTTAATAACTTGTCTTATTTTGTTTTTTAATATAGGTATTAAAAAGCAAGCCAAGACTCCCAATGGATAAATCAGTGCCTGGTGTTCTGAAGTGGGAAAAAAAATAGATTAACTTCAGTAGGATTTATGTATTTTGAAAAAGAGAATGGAAAACAACAAAGGAATTTTTGTTTGGATTTTTTTATAACTAAGCACATAACTGAATTTTGAACATTTAAATTGGCATTATTTGGGAAAAAAATGTAATATTATTCACATTATTTTGTGAGTTGACATTATGTTTCAATTCTGTAGTTGCACACTTGGCTCTTTCAAAGAAATTCAAATTTCTTATGCTCTTTTGAAATGATAATACTGAAAGGAAAATAATATTTCAGTGAATGACCCCAAATTATTTGAGCTGGGAATTTTCTGAAGTGCCGTAACTTCAGTGAACCACAGCAACTGGCTTATGTATGTCCTGGCATAAATTAATTTAGAAATGAGGCTCCTACTGTTTAAATAGCTATGGACACATCTGGTGCTGAGGAAGGAACAGACATTACCATTGGTGTAAAGAAATATTACTATATAGCAGAGAAACGGCAATATATGTATTCAGATAGTTACATCCCTATATAAAATTTATGTTTACATTTTTAAATTAGTAGATAAACTCCTTTCTTTCTGTCAAGTGTACAAGTTCATTCTGACTTAAGTCAGCTTTTGTTTTGGAACAAATTAAGTAATTGAACCGCCCAGCTCCCCCTGACGTTTGTCGATGCCCCCCTCTATTTTTAATTTTCCTGTGGGCAGAGACCTTTAAAGTGGCATCTTAAAATTACCATTCTGGGGACTGGTATACACAGAACAACTGTGTCAGTGGGAAGGTAATTCTGATGACCGATGTGATACATCCAAAGACAATGCACAATTAAGTATATTGAAGTACTAGCCAAAATTTTTTCTTACTAACATAAAATAAAAATCATACGAACAAGTCCCTCAAACTACAACTGTCTCTCAGATACTTTTAAAAAATAATGAAAAACATCTTAGATTTTTCAAATTTTCTACATTTAAATGTTCAGCTTTAAAAAGAGTAATGCTAAAAAAGTTTTAAGTTATCCAGAATAGATGACATAATATGTGTGGATACAGGAACCTTATCCTACATCATACGTGTGTGTATGTGTGTGTGTGTGTTTGTGAAATATAATCCAAATTAAGTGAAGCACACAGCATTACATATTTGAGGGGTTGGTGTATAAGGGAAAAAATATACTTTCGGCAAAACCAAAGATTGTGCTGCATAATGAGACAGCTGTGATTTTATTTTAAACTGTGAAAGCATGTGCCACAACAGAATTTGGAGAATTTTTTCTTTGTCCTAGATTCAAAAGGTGCAGAAAGAAATCAAATTACACTTTTAAGTTAGTGGTGCTTAAGCAGACGTTTTCCTACATTAACCAGTATTAAAATCCTAAGCAAGGTATTGCAAGTGCCAGGACACATTAGGTAGAATTTGAAAATGAGTTGGCATCCCTGTATAATACATCATGGAGCTGTAAGTCAACACCATTCCACTCACTTGGTGCCTAGCACAGTGAGAGGGCTAGAGATGGACAGCCATCGAGGGGTGAACAGAGGGCCACAAAATCACACCCGCCAGGGCACACACTTACCAACAGAGGACACAGACAGCTTAACAGAGATCCAGAATTTTCACTGAGCTATGATCTGAGCTATGGGATAGCTTCTTTGTTGTACCTCTTTGCCTTAAATTGCTATTTAGTTTTAAGATTGCAGAATGATCCTTTCTTTTAAATTGTAATCTTTTCAAATATTTTAACATACTTACTTTAAAAATAATTCAACTACTGTCAGTATTAATACTGAGCCAGACTGGCATCGATAGATTTAAGGTCTATAGCTTCATCAAGATTCTTACCCCTATATTGAAAAACTAGCCAATATCATGGCCTTTGGAAACATATGAGATGATACATTTAATACCATTCATTGGGCCCTCCATCTGTCTCTCCATCCATTATCATTTGAAGGCCCTACATATGCCAGGCACTCACATGCTAGGCATTGGGATATAAAAAAATTGTCTCTAACCTCAATTAAGTATTAAAAATGTCATTATCACCCTTTAGGTTCACTTTATTTCATTTTAACAACTTTAAGTACATGTCTAAAATTTTTATTTTAAGCACTATTGTTTTTCATGACCATATTTTATTTTAAAAATAAGTTAAAAATTAATAGTTACATGCATGTATGTGTTACTAATGATTAAAACTATGTTTTCAATTCCTGAAATGTCTGCCTTTTAAATATGAAATGTACTATTGGGTTGATTTGCGGTAAAAAGAAGTTTCAATTAGGAGGCTAAAGATTCTCACTTATTCCTTGTGTAAACATTCTTCCCCCTCAGTCATCCCTAAACACTCCCAAAAAAACTCGCAATATTGATTTAACACTCAATATTTTGAACCTCAAGGGATCTCTTCTCTGAATAACCACAAAAACATAGAAAATGACTAGCTGGTAAAGTTATCTATTAATAAAACAAACAGTCCAGGCTTACAAACTCTAAATTAAAAAAATAATAATATAGAAAGTAGAAATGATACAGAGAATGCTGCATACTGAAAAGAGATTACTTTTAATCTAATAAAGACTGTGAAAAAAAGAGGGGGGAAGTGTAAATAGGAAACTAATTTAGCGTCTTCCATATGCCATATTCATGGCCTCATAATTATTCAGACCACAGTCTACATGAAAGATGTCTTGACCCTGGAGACTAGGATTCAGTCTCCCAAAAGTACAGGAACATATGAATCCACAACTTGCCTATTTCTAGGAAATCCTTATATTTTTACATAATAAATTTATTCACAATTTCAATCACTAGGCATTATTTGTAATAATGAACAATAATATTTTTTCCTCTTTGAAACCTCACAGAATAATCACATTCAAACATTCCTAATATTCATATCTAGAGGAAATGAAGTTCATTAAAATTATTGTGGCACTGAAAATTCACCTTTAGTAAACTGTGTGAAAATACAGAATTTCTGGTCAGAAGATACCTTAGTTTAAAAATAACTTGTTCTGATACTAACAGTATAATAACTGATAAGTAAAAATTTACCCTTCTTCTATATTTTTTTATATTTAGAGTTCATATTCACAATTAATATATTCAAACAACAGCTATATTTCATTTCCAGCTACCAAAAGTCCTGGGCCACTTTTAAACACTTCAAGCATTTCATTTATCCTTTAAACTAAAATGGTGCTGAATTATTTCAACTTGAATGTAAAAATGTGTTGTCTTACTTCGCAGGATATAAACATTTAATTAATATATAACTACTTGCTACTAACTACATGACATGTCATTTGGTATTGTAATATTTTTAATGACATTTTAGTTTCTTCCAAATTTTTCAGTAATCCTATTTGTAAAACATCTGTAGCTTTTTCGAGGAGCTCTTATTTCAAATGCCCAGACACTGGCTTTATATTCTTCTTTACACTCTGACATTCTTTCATTGTACGCCTATACTATGAGTGCAAAATTATATTAAAATGCCTTGAATAAACAATTTCAAGTATCTATAGTGGTCATTTGTTGTTACATATAAATAAATGATATGAATTTCATTTTAGGTTAAAATCTTTTTTTTTTTTTTTTATCCTCACCCGAGGACATTTTTTCATTTTTTGTTCAGGTAGAGTGGGAGGGAGAGAGAGGAACAGAGAGAGAGAGAAACATCGACGTGAAAGGGACACATCGAGTGGCTGCCACCCACACAACCGACCAGGGCCGGGGACAAACTGCAACCGAGGTACGTGCCCTTAGCGGGAACCAAACCCGGGTCTCTCTGGACCGCAGGTCGACGCTCCAACCGCTGAACCAAACCGGCCAGGGCTAGGTTAAAATCTTAAAGCCATTTATATGGCTGGTGGTTTTGATTAGTTGTCTTTTGTATTAACAAATTGTTTTATAAGCTCACATAACTTGAAACTTGTCTATGATGGATAAAAAAAAAATCTAGCTGATGTTTTAAAAAAGAAACTACCACACATGAATGAATCCTAATTTTTGTCACCATTACCAGCCAGTTCAAGGACACAGAGCAGGCATCGTGAGAACAACCACATTTTGGTTTAATTAGGATTTATAAGAAATATGTATACACATACATACTAGGGGACACATCCAACTGAAGCTACATTGCTCTCACAGTAACCGTCATTTAAATGTGTACCAGATTAGCCTGGAAGCTGGTAACCTGAGAGAACAAACCGACTACAAACTGTGGACAAATAGTTTTTTGGGGGGCAAAATTCACAAAACCCACAAAACAATTCACCTTTAAAGAGCTCCTGCAGATAAAACCGATGTAGGCTTGTGGCTGGCAGTTTGCAAATTTGAGTTGTAGAATATCGAAAACCACCAATTTCCTGCTTCTCTAGCCTGCGCAAGGCAAAGTATCTGAAAACACTTTCCTTATTAATGCAAAAGATGATTTTCTTGGTCCCATCAGTGTTCAAGCACTGATCATTATTAGCTCATTAACCAAAAACAGGGGAGGGCAGATCATTCCTTTTTGTCAGAAAACTTCACTGATTTATGCTACTCATTATTAATATTTCTAATCCTTGCCACAGATATTAGTAGAAGATTATTAACACACAGGCTGAATCACTTTCATTGTAGCAATTTACAGCTTACATTTAAACAAAGCTCTTGCATCATATCTCTTTTTAATTTGAATAAATAAAATATACAGAATTAGGAGAATATTGATTTCCTAAAGCACGTATTGAGGAATTCAAGTTTCACAAGACAGTCTACTAAAAAAGAATCCCATATGAACATAAGTGTGGGAAATGTTACCTCTATGGAAGATATTCACAATACGTATTACCATGTTCCAAGATTCTGAGAAGTCCTGGAGTAAAGAAACCACTTTATCTTTGCTATCTATTGTTTCTCAGATTTGTTTTGCCATGTACATATGTGTGTGTGTGTGTAATTATTATTATTTTTATTTTTTAATCCTCATCTGAGGATATTTTCCCATTTATCTTCAGAGGCAAGGAGAGAGAGAAATACTGATGTAAGAGAGACACATCGATTGGCTGCCTCCCTCATGACCCCAACCAGGGCCGGGGATTGAATTGCAACCAAGTACGTGCCCTTGACCAGAATCGAACCCATGACTCTCTGGTCTGTGGGCCGATGCTCTATCCACTGAGCAACCGGCCAGGGCTGCCATATATTTTTTAATAGCACTTACTTTGCTGTTAAACTGTTTTGTTTGTTTGTTTTTTCCCACGGAAAACTCTGAGATATGCCATATTAAGTAATTATCAGTTCATAAAAATGAGATTATTTGCATATTACTTAAATACATGACAGTGACAGCATTTGAGTGATATGAAACAGGAAGAGCTGAAACCCACCAATTTACTGCTGCCTTGCTTCCTAAATACCGCATGATCAAATAGGGGAAATAGATACAGAGTGATCCTTTTAATGGGTCTTTCCATCTCTAAACCATGTTTTGTTTTAGAAGGAAATACCGACCATTCTTATTTGTGAGATAGCTTGAATGCTTTTAGGTACCCTTTATTAAAACCTCTCCTCTCCCAAACATTACTTTTTTATAATACTGAGGGTGAACCAATCATTTTCTTCATGGTCCCTTCATTTTGTATATTTGAAATTATTTTATGTTATACATAATAGTATAATTTAAGTAAGTTTGAAATGAATCTTAGCACTTCTTAGAGTGCACAGGAAAAAGTAGGATTGGATATGAATGACTTAGAAGGATATATGCATGTATTTTCAACTTGTTTCTAATAACTTGTTGCTTAACTATGGGTTAATACCAACTTTGGAGAGAGAGAGAAAAAAAGAAAAAGAGCCACTAAACTAAAATTGAACCAGCAATAGAATAACCAAGAATATGCCAAGGTCACTGTTAGAAATACAATATTGCTAGTTCCCAATTTCTTTACATACAAAGGCAAACCAGAGTTCATGACACAAACTGTACATAACAGGGGTTAAGGACAAATGTAATGATAGCTCCTGATAGAGACAACTCCTTTTTTTATGTTTTCCTTATTGATTTTAGAGAGAGAGGAAGTGAGCGGGAAAGAGAGATAGAAACATCGATTAGGGAGAACATCAATTGGCTGCCTCCTGCATGTCCCCCACTGGGGATTGAGCCCACAACCTGGGCATGTGCCGTGACCGGGAATCAAACTGGGGACCTCTTGGTGCATGGGTTGATGTGCAACCCTTGAGCCACACCAGCCAGATGAGACAACTCACTTTGTTTTTTAATCCTCATCCAAGGATATTTCTACATTTATCTTCAGGCAGAGTGTGGGGGTGGGGGTGGGGGGAGAAACATCAATGTGAGAGAGACACATCGATTGGTTGTCACCTGCACAACCCCAACCAGGGCTGGGGACAAACTGCAACTGAGGTACATGCCCTTGGCCAAAACTGAACCCAGGATTCCCTGGTCCACAGGCTGATGCTCTAACCGCTGAGCAAAACCAGCCAGGGTGAGACAACTCATTTTTTAAACTAAATCAAATAATATTGGCTCTTCACTGCACATATCTTACTGAATTAATGTATAAATTTGGAGCCTGAAAATTTTGGAACAAGTATTATCAACCAGATATTTGCAAACTACTGAAATATATCATTGTCATAGTGCAAATTTAGAGGAAACATTTTCAGTCATTACAATGCCATTCTTTTTTTAGAGGTATGATATTAGGGAAAAAAAAACTTTTATAACAATCTATAGTTGGGCTGTTGCTGGGACTAAGATTCATGGATAAGTAAACAATCTAACAGTTGTGATCACTTTACTTTTATTTTAGGACTATTTTGTTTCTAGTAATAGGAATATGCTTACACTCGTTTAGTCCAGAGAGGAATTTACAGGGTCATGTCATCAAACAGAGGGAAGGCAATGGTGGGGTGGCCCAGGAGAAGATGGAATGAGGGAATCAAACACGATCGATGTTCTCACTGTCTTTTCTCTGGGTGTTGACTTCATTCTTTTGGTTTCATTTCTCCTTAAGAGTGGAAACTTAGTTGCCTGCAGATCTCAGGACACATTCACACAGCTTGTTGACCAGAAAGAAAATTGCAATAACCTGTAGCTCAAGTTTGAAAAATCTAGGGGAAGGCATTTCACAGGCTCAGGCTGGGTCAGTGTCAATCCCCAGTCTGGTCATGGTGGACACCATGACAGGTCCAGAGTGAGTCGAGTGCTCCTTATTCAATCACAGAAGTCAAGGAGACAGGGTCAAGTCAAGGAGACAGGGTTAAGCAGAGAATGGCTGCTTCCAGCCAAATCATGACTGCAATTTGGCTTTATGTGTAGGTACGAGAGGAAGGCGGGGGGAAAGAAAATGATACTCCAGGAAGGGGCTGAGTTATCATGGATATTTTCAATGAGAAGATTATTAGGAACCAACAATCCACCTACTTATGTCCAGCAAAACAGATTAATAAAATCAACCTCTAAATAATCCAGTTCAGAACCTTTCCTTCCAAGATGCTTATCCACCTGATTTCTGTTAAGAGAACTCTATACTCTCAGCATCTAAGGGCTGACTTTTCTACAAGAAAGACATACTGCCCCCTTCCTTTCCCTCTCAATACTACTTCCCTCCCCTGCTGGCAGGTCTAAGCAGCCTTCTCCCCACACCCCACCTTCAGCGTTTCATGAAGGCTTAGCAGGGCATTTCAGAAGCGATGCTCATCCTTACAGGTTCTTTTTAATTCAACCAGTTGCACTGGAGTTGCAAAAACGAGGATCAATCCAAAAAGAAAGAGGGAAAAGAACAGGAGGAAGAGCCATTCTTTTAAGGTTTGTTCCTCCAATTGCTACCATTCCCACTGATGCCCTCTACCATCCATCGACCCTGTTTGTTTTTGACCATCAGTGAGAGACTCCCTCTAGAAGGAGGACCTCAGGGGAAGGGGCACTGCACTCTTTATTTCTATTAGATACATTGTGCTTTTAACACATTACGGTCCCTGTAGAATAGGTGCAGTTCAATGGTGGAATAAGGGATCAAGGAAAACCTCAGAGAAAAGCACAGCAAAATACTAGTGTTCTGGAAGAAATGCAGTGATAAATGAGAGGCTAGGGTGACAGCAACAGTAGTCAGTCTAATATTCTCTCTTGAGGTTCTCACCGTTTCTTTGAGTCCAGATATAGAAAAATGTACATGAGGCTATGCTAGAGTGCGGTGAGAGTAGTATACGGGTATGACAACTCATCCCAGAGGTTTTCAAATCTGAGTCCGAGAGCATCAGTAATTGTTAGATTTGCTTTGCAGAGAAGAGACCTAAGAGGATGAGGTCAGAGGGGTGGGATAGAAAACATACAAAATGGTGCAACTTCTTCACTAATTAGGCAACCTGCTATCTGGAAAATGACCTAGTAAGCCAAGACTTTCCCCAAGGCTGAGGCTGATCAGAGATGCCTTTTAGTCCACAGGGAGTTATCCTGTTATTATTTCAGAGTTTGAGAAGGCTTATCAGGAGCTAGGCATACACAACCTTCTTCCCTGTCCCTTCTCCCAGTTTTCTCAGGGGAATACTTCTGAGTATTAGAGACATGGAAAAAAATGACACATTCCCCTTTTCTGTCTCCTCACGTAGGGATTTCACAATTTAGCTACAGGGGGCCCTCTGGAATTATTTCTCTCTCAATGATCAACAAGAGGCCAATGTGAGTGCTTTAACCTCAAACACTGGTCTCATTTGAATGTGCTGGAAAAAAAAAAAAAAAAGGTAAGAGTGGACCTTGCCCTATCATTATATTTTAGATCTTTACCCAAAACCAATACCTCCATCCTGGTGACGTTAAAATCACTTACATTGGTTGTCATCAGTATATAATACTCATTTCACTGAGGCAACTACTAAGGTAGGAGTTTTTTAGTATCATCAAATATCTAGTTTGTATTCAAATTTCACCAATTGTCTTACAATCTTTTTCCTTTTTTTTAAAGTTGGCTTGCTTGAATCAGGATCAAACAAGGACCACACATGGAATTTGGTTATTATGTGTTTTAAGTCTTTGAAAAGAATACATATTTTCCTTTTATCATTTTTTGTCTTGTTATCAATGAAGGTGAAAAACTAGATGTTTTTATAGAACAACTATTGTCTTACATAATTTTTCACATTCTGGATTTGCAGATCTTATCCTGGTAGTGTTATTTAACATATTCTTCTGTTCCTTATGTTCCCTATAAAAAAAAAAAAAAAAAATCAGATCTAGAGACTTGACCAGATGTAAGTTAGGTTTGATTTGGAAGAGTAGGAAGACCTGATAAGTGGAGGCACGTCCTTCATAACTGCACTACACAAGGAGGCCCGGATACCTCCAGCTGTCTCTTGGTGGTGATAAGAATGAACACTGGGCTCACGGCTGTTCAGTCTGATTCACTCACTATAACCCCCCCGACCCCCCCTTCAGACCTTCACCTACTCATTTTAGCAGCCATTACTGATCACTGCTAGATCCACTGTCAGTGATCAAAAGTGATTTTTTATAAAAACTGAGAGTATTTCATAATGCTTTTTCATTTGAACTGAACTATTTGTTTCTTTCATTAATGTACTTTATTAAATTAAATAACATTGAATATGAAATTTGATAATTGACTTTTTCCACCCCCCCGTTAGTAATTTGAGATAGTTTTGGAACCTTATGAAAGACATTCAAGGTGCTGTGCCCTTTCATAAGAAAAGCCAAAATGTTGTTTTTGGAACTGTTTTCGTCATGTGCATGTGTATTTCTCTCCCATTATTGTCAAATGTAATTTTAACCTTACACAAGCAATCTGTTGATTTGAAATATCATGGGAACACTTTGACCTAGAACATTCTCAAAGAGATTAATTACTGGAAACATAAACTAAGAATACTTTACACAAGTATATAACTTTCTTCGTCCTCAGCTTTTTCAATTTTGTTTCTCATTTTCTTGTAAATGTCAAGAACCTGACAGTCAAGACTTCCGTTACCAGGCCCCGACTCCCCCTTTCAGTGCACGGGATGACGCTCGGCCCGCTCACTCACTCCAGCTGGGCTCTTGCCCTTTTATTGGGATTGAAAACACTTTTTACTGGTCTCTTTTGAATAATATATTTCATCAAATTCAGTTCCTAAAATTTAATTAACCATGGTTAATACTGGGCAACTTTGAAAAATATAGAGAATACAGTATTATTTGACCTTTTCACTCCACATTTATAAATGATTTGGCTCCTCCCACCCCACCCCTATCATCTTTACTAGGTTTAGTATGAAGATTAACCAGGCTGCAGTAAAATAGCAGCATGATGTAGTTGTTAACAACCCAGGCTTTCTAAGTTCACATCCTAGATTTACCACTTACCGGCTACAAGACCTTCAACAAGTCACCTAGTTGCCAAAGATTAGAGTGATAGAGCAGAATGTAAATGCTACAAACGTTCATAAGGTAGAAATGAAATAGTTAACACACATTGAGAGGGGAAGAAAAGGAAAAGCTAAGTCTGCTACTTCACATTTTTATAAATAGAGTGAAAATATGCACTTTAAAGCAGATAAACATATACATCTGCCTATTCTTAGATTTGTTAATATAAAGATACACTTTAAAAAAAAATAATACCACCGACTAATATCAGTAGTGAAGGAAAATATTTGGAGAGAAAGAAGAATATATTAATTTAGTCATCAATCAGTAAATAGATACTGTCCAAAGTAGGGCTTGCAATTAGGGACTAAGCTAAATCGGGCACACCACCACTTTTTGTAGATAAACGTTATCCAAATATAGCCAAGCCAATTTGTTTACATATTGGCTACGGCTGCTTTTATGCAATAATACCACAGTCAAGCAGCTGCCGCACAGATCTCATGGGCTGCAGAGCCTAGAATATTTACTGTGTTGCCTGTTACAGAAATGTTTGCTGACCCCTCATCTAATGCAATAGGGTATTAAGTATAGTATGTTAATTATAATTATAAAGATAGTCTCTAACTATATAAATATTTCATATTATAAAAGAATTACTGACAAAAGAGTTACCTAAAAAGCATGACAATGTGACTGACAGCCAACCTCAACAGAAACAAAGTCATAAAGCAATGAGATATCTTCATGGTAAAGAGAGAAAATAATTGCTAACCAAGATTAGTTACCCCATTAGACTGTCATTTGAGAATGAGACTAGAATGTAAACATCATTCTGAGAGACAAAATCTAAGAAGGTTTACCAGTAACAGCTCTTCACTAGACAATGTTGTAAAATATGTCCTTAAGAAAGTAGGACAATGATACTAGAAAGAAGATTGGAGACATAGAAAGACTGATAAAGAAACTGGTAAAGAAGTGTGTAGATCTATATAAACATTGACTATATAAAGCAATAATGATGATATCTAATTTGGAGATAAAGTTAAAAGGCAGAATTAAAATACTTGATATAAATGCGTGTAAGATAAAAAGAGACTAGAGAGTTATGAAGCCTATGTTTTGCTGGTGGGCTGATAGAGTTACTGAGATTAATTTAGATTTTAAGAAAACATTCACTTAAAAATGTAAAGCTTAATTACAAAAAGAATTACCGGAATAGCAGAAAGGGAGAGTGGGGGAAAAAATTAAAATAGAAAAAGAGAAAACCAGTATTCTAGAAGTAAGGATTTATCAGAACCTTTTGGAAATGGCTAAAGAACACATAATGAAAACACTATATATCTCATGTAGGCAAACCATTACCTAACAAATCTAGAAAGCAAGTACAAAATTTAAATATGTAAAATATGACAAAAAAGTAAACTAACCCAAACTTGCAGAGGTAATTTTAAAAATCAAGAGATTATACTGTTTAGCTTTACAAATAAAACATATATCATGGATGAGATGGTTATATTTTAAGAAAAAAATATAAATTGAGTTTAGGTGAAAATCTAAACAGATAAATTAATATAGAAAAAGCTGTCAAAACTGCTTTTTTTTTTTTTTTTTTGATCTTCACCCTGGGATATTTTTCCACTGAGTTTTTTAGAGAGAGAGAGTGGGAGGGAGGGTGAGACAGAGAGAAACATCGATGTGAGAGAGACACATTGACTGGTTGCCTCCTGGGCAACCCAGACCAAGGCCAGGGATTGAACCTGCAACCCAGGTAGGTGCTCTTGAACAGAATCAAACCCATGACCCTTCGGTTGGCAGGTCGACACCCTAACCACTGAGCAAAACTGGACAAGGTTCACACTATTTTTTATTGCAATTATTCTCATATTTTTCCTAGAGGATTCATACATTCTCCTCTGCAATAAAACATTACCTTTTCTCCCATTCTCATTCTGCACTGTTACTAACCAAGTTTGAGCCATCCTCTCTCTCCCTTGGAGTATTCTGATCGCCTGCTTCCTAACTGGTAGCTGCAGCTATTCAACTATAACAGTCATTAATGAACTGGAGAAAAAAAATAACAAAACCCTGCATATACCCATGATTGTTTATTCAAAATAATAATATTTATTCAAATATTTATAGAATACATATTCAAATAGTATTATACTGAGCACCTACTATTACTAAGTAATGGTCAAGTTTGGGGCATGGCAGAGAATAAAACAGTCTTTGCACTCAAAACTTAGATTTCAGATGAGGAAACTGACAGCCATAAAAATATATGTGTCAGGTGACAAATGTCATAGAAGAAAAGTTAAGCAAGAAAGAAGCTACTATAACCAGTTAATGTTTTCTAAGGATGGTCAGAGACGCTCTCCCTAATAAGATGACATTTGCACAGAGATATGGAAAACTGAAGGACAGGCCTTGCAGATATCCAAGTGGAGAACATAAATTCAAGTATGAAAGAAAGTAAATTCTAGGCCCGGCCAGTGTGGCTCAGTGGTTGAGCGTCAACCCATGCACCAAAAGGTCGCTGGTTCAATTCCTGGTCAGGGCACATGGCCAGGTTGTGAGCCAAACCCCACAGCGGGGGGCATGCAGGAGGCGGCCAATTGATGTTCTCTCTCATCGATGTTTCTATCTCTCTCTCCCTTTCCCTTCCTCTCTCTCTAAAAATAAGTGAAGAAAAAAAAGTTTTTGAAAAAAGAAAGCAAATTTGCCCTGGCCGGTTTGGCTCAGCGGTTGGAGCTTCGGGCTGCAGACCAGAGAGTCCCGGGTTCAGTTCCCACTAGGGACACATACCAAAAAAACAACAACAAAAAAACAAAAAAAAACTTTAAAAAGAAAGCAAATTCTAGGCATTAATAATGTAACTATATTGCTTAAAAATCTTTAAAACTTTGATGGGACTGAAAATCCTTTACACAGGTGATATCTATGATAAAAATAAAAATTCAAAAGTGGTTCATACCTATTTCAGACACTAGCTAAACTGGTTGTTGTTAGTATGTGTGAAGACTATGAACTTCTCTCCACAATAGAGACCTAAGCTAAACACTGAATATTCATACCATGTTTAGTTTAAAAATAAACACAAATAACCTTCCTTCCTTCATTGACCCTCTAAGTTTTGGCTGTTTTTACTGAAAAACATCCTTTTAATTTTATCCTGAAAACAACATGGAGAATGACTTTCTTTCAAAACAAGTTTTTCCTTGAAGAGAAACACATGTTCAAAGAACAAACAACATTCCAGTATCTGACTTAAGGCTACTTAACTTCTGCAGGATGATGTCATAGTTAGGCTACTAAACCTATTCCTTTACATACTATTTCTTCTGCAATTCTGTAATTTAGGCCTCTTCCTGCAGACACATCTTTTTATGCAATTAGAGAACAATAAAGAAAACATCTTTGAAGTACAAATACTTCCTAGGTAATAAATAATTTCTAAGAGTAATCAAAATTAATATTCCAACATGCTTTTAAAATAAAATTTAAGCCCTGGCCAGTTTGGCTGGGCAGTTAGAGCATCGGCCCATGGACCAGGGAGTCCTGGGTTCAATTTCCGCTCAGGGCACGTACCTCGGTTGCAGTTTGTCCCCGGACCCGGTTGGGTTTGTGCGGGTGGCAACCAGTCGATGTGTCTCTCTCACATCAATGTTTCTCTCTCTCTTCTTCCCTCTCTCTCTCCAGCTGTATCTGATGATAAATGCAAAACTATCCTCCGTGAGGATAAAAAAACAAACAAGCAAACAAATAAGTAAATAAAATTTAAAAACGAATTTTAAAGTTTCTTTGTAAAAGAAAGATATAAAATAGTCAAGAAAACTTTGAGGGGAAAAAAGACAAGCATGAAACAGGCTACTAGGTATCTAAAGAATAATTTAAAATGCAATACTGGATAAGGGAATGGATAAGTGAAAAAGAGAAAGAGCCTAGAAACACTTTGTGGTTATATGGTGACATTTCAAATCAGTAGAGAAAGGATAACCCAACTACTCAAAAATAGCATTAGATCAATATTCATCTTGAAAAAAATAGATAGATCCTAACCACATATCATACATGTATTAGAATAACCCTCGTGCAGTAACAGATGAATGCCCTAAATCTCTGTCACTTAAGCAAGTAAGTACTCACTGATTTCTTGCTCATGTGAAGTTCAGTGGGTGGTTGTTCAGCGTTGGGGGATCTTCTCCACGCAACCATGGAATCCTAGCTGACAGAATCTTCACCATCTTCAGAATCTATCTTGCAAGGTTGTCCAGGATGTCAACATTTAGCTGGAAAACGAGGGAAGAAAGATGGAAGATTGCTTGGAAAGTTTTGTGGGGCAGGTGAAAATCATGTAATCATTTTTACCCATATTCCACTGGCCAGTATTTGCCTATCTTTAAGGAGGCTGGGAGATCATTTAGCCAGGTGCCTAAGGAAAAGAAGATAAATAGATTTAGTGACCACTGAGACAGGTTTTTTTTTTTTTTTTTTTTTTTATTGATTAATTTTTGTTACAAATGATTCTCCTTTTTTCCCCCACTGATTCCCCCCTCCCCCTTCCCTCCCTGCCCCTTCCCCAGATTGTTGTCCATGTCCACTGTTCATGCATACATGCATATAAGTTCTGTGGTTCATCCCTCTCTCACAACTTAAAGAACTAGAGAGTAAACAAAAAGAAAACCCCAGAGCAAGTAGAAGAAAGGAAATAGTAAGGATCAGAGCAGAAATAAACGACATAGAGACCAAAAAAACAATCCAGAGGATCAATAAAACAAAGAGCTGGTTTTTCGAAAAGATAAACAAGATTGATGGACCCTTAGCTAGACTCACCAAGAGACAGTTTTTAATACAGTCTGGTTACTAAGTAGTCTACCAGAGCCAGAGCACATTTCCTCTTTCCCCAAGTGAGACAATCTAAAATTCTACCCAGTTATCGCAACCAACTTACGGTCCAAGAGCTCTGAATGCAACATGGCTCTATCAGTTCTGAATATGGCTCCTTGAAGCTTCAGCTGCGCTAACAACACAGTTACAGAAATCTCTCTACTGCCACCTGGCCCAACACACTATGTTGAAGCAAGGGCAGGGAAATTGCAATAAAAACTGCCATCTGGTAAAGGAAACACCGGAGACACACAGAAGGCACGGGTCCATCTGGCAGGCATTTTGAGGTCCCTGTGATCTGGCAGTAGGAACATCTTAATTTGAACATTGCTATATGGAAGGAACTACTCATTTAACATTCTTCATAACTCTGGATCTCCCCTTATTGAGGTTCTCTTTTGCTCATTATCATGACGGGGATCATGCCCTCCTTGGGGTCCTTTACAGTTTTTTGTAACCCATCTTTTGCCTGAGCAAGTTTGGGAGCCCCCAGATACTTTTAATGACAGAGCATCTGAGGGCTGCTGAAGTGCAGCCTTGCAATTTTGTTGCCATTACAAATAAGCAGATTACTGTTTTTTGAGGCAAATGTATCTCTATTCAGTTACATAAGCTAGTAGCATTTCCCCAAGTTCTTTCTCAAATTAATTCATAAGACAGCCTTAATTTTCCCCTCCTTTGCCCCATGTCTTAAAGCCATCATGGTTAGGAGGACATACCACAACTTTGCTTAGGTCTGTGCTGCAGCCAGAAGTCTTAATGGACCTTTGTGCATAATCTCTTACCATCTGAGACTAGATGCTTTTCCATCCTTTTCCATTTTGTTTTTTCATGCTGGCCAAGTAACAAATCATTGCCACATCCCATCTCTTCTTTTCTGTCACCTTGATAAATGTAGGTAATGACAATCAACATTCATTACCAATATCCCATTTTCCAACTTCTTTCCCTAGAGCGATGGGTTCCCTAGACACGTGATCCACATTTGAATTGCAAATGACCATTTCAGTAATCGTTTTTGTCCCTGCATGACAAAAATCTCACTTGCTAGATTTCATTTTGACTGTCTGCTGAACCAATAACATGTATTTTGGATTTTTGCTACAGTGGCAGCCTTCTTCCAGCACCAATTTCTGCATCAGAGTAATGATACCTGTTTAATTTTTTAAAATCCCCAGCCATGGCTGGTGTGGGTCAGTGGTTAGAGTGTTGGCCCTCACATCAAAGGGTCACAGGTTCAATTCCCAGTCAAGGGCAGGTATCTGGGTTGCAGGTTTGATCCCTGACCCTGGTTGGCAACCAATCAACGTGTCTCTCTCACATCAGTGTTCCCCCACCCCACTTCCACTCTCTCTCTAAATATCAATGGAAAAAAATATCCCTGGGTGAGGATCGACAGCATAAATAAATAAATAAATAAATAAATAAATAAATAAATAAATAAATAAAATTTAAAATCCCAATTCTCTTTAGTTTAACTCAATACTTTTTAATGACAACAAGTCCAATTGGCTTAAGTGGAGGAAAGGGTTAATGACCATGATTCTCTTCACTTAGGTTCCCAGGCTGATGGTTGTTTCTTCACTTTAAAAACGGGGTCTTCTAATGTCTCCCTGGGAACTGACATCCAGCTGAGGGATAAAGGAAGCGTGGCGGGTAGAAGAGGATTTTACGTGCCAGACCTAGAAATGTCTTACATAATTTTTACCCATATTCCTCTTAAGCAATTCTTAAGTTACATGACCTCGACCTAATTTTAAGAGAGGCTGAGAGATGTAGATTACTTGTGTACCAATTGATGTGATTAGGCAGGTTGCCAATCTCTGCCAGGATATACAGGAGTAAGTTCCAGATAAAAGTAAAGAAAGTAAACATAAACCTATAAAAAAAAAAACCCTATTAAAAGCACTAGTGGAAAATACAGAATTATTTAGGGATGGCAAGAACTTTTCGGGTTATGGGAGTCCCATGGAGGAAGACAGGGGACAGAGCAGAGATCAAACTTGTCCTTGATGGTGCAGGTCTGAGAACAGAGGTGCTGCTGCTGCTGCAGGAGAGACAGATATCCATCAGGAGTCTCTTCCTTCTGAGAAAAAAGGCTTGCACTACTGTAGTCATCCAACACTGTCAATCCTGGCACAGGTGAAAGCTCACTGTGGCATGGGTACCAGGAAAAACACTCTATACCTGGGAAGAGTCAGGAAGCTATTCTGCACCCAGATTATTACAGAGCTCTTAACTTGGGTCAAGAAACACTGCCAACCAAGATACAATGAAGAGTTTGGCTGCCACAAGGAAGAGGGGTAGGATTGCTGAGAAAGCCGTAATCCTAAAATCCAGCCACCACCTAAGTATGAAAACCACGAAAAATATTTTAAAGATCAAGGGCTCAAAGAATTCTTTCTCCAAGTCCTTTTTTGAGGAATCTACTAGAAACTGAACTGCACCCAAATAGAAGATGACTGGGAAACCTTTAGCAATTTAGCTTTAATATAACTTAATTGCAAAAATAAGGTCAGATATTTGTGGAATATAATGAATAGAAAAAGCTGATGAACAAAATAGACCCAGAGACATAGAAAGGAGTATGGTTCAGACTGACAAACCTCAGAGGGGCGGGGGGATGAGATAAACCAAAGAACTTCTACGCATGTATGCGTAACCAATGGACATAGAAAGCAATGCTCGGGGTGGCGCAGGACAGGGAGGAAGGTGTGTGGGGAGAAAAGGAGAAACATCTGTAACAAAAATAAATTAATTAATAAAATAAATTAATTAATAAAAAAATAAGGTCAGAACAAGGATAGGAGAATAATGTTCTAGAATAGTGTTCTATGCTTTGTCGTATGTTCCAATGAAATAAAAACAATGCAACTAAAAATGGGCTGAGAATGGAGACAGAATAAGGAAAGCAGAATAAACTCATTAATCTGTGATTTAGACAACAAGTAAAAGTTAAGAAATGTTATTAAAAATAGACAATATAAATTTTGATTAAAAGAAATAAGGACCTAAGGGCACTAAAAATGGTGTAAGCACAAAGATCACCACTAGAACAGAAATATTAATCTCCCTAGAGCCAAATTTAGGAATTTCTTTTTAAAAAACATAGTGAACATATTATAAAAAGGAATACTAAATATAATAATTACAACATAAATCTGATAACTGAAAGCAAACATATCCATCTCATCAACAATTGTGGAAGGGTTTCATTGCTTATTAAAAGGAAAGATTTAAAACTTGGTTTGTAAAGACCCACCTGTATGCTCTGGTCAAGAGACATGCCTAAAACAGAAAGGCTAAAAATAAAAGGAGAGTCAAAGGTGCTCCCGGAAAATGGAAACACTAAGAAAGCAGGGTTAGCAACACTGTCAAATAAAGTAAAAAGCAAACAATAGTAGAGAGAGATTTTCTAACTATGATTCCAAATCCATATGCAAAAATGGAACAGAAAAAAATGAAAAAAGAAACTGATACATCTGACTACATACAATAAGTGGCAGACAAAGCTGATAGAAAAGTAAACAACATAAGTAAAATCAAAAGACAGTTGACAAATGTTTGCAATACATATAACAGACAAAGGGCTAGTATCCCTAATATAAAAATAAATCCTAAAAATTAGGGGAAAAAGACAAAAACAATAAATAACTTCTCACCAATGAAAAAATGGGCAAGACAACAAATTCGCACTGATTCAAAAAGAGTTCTTAAGAATAGTAAGTATTCAACTGTATTCCTAGAAAGAAAAGATACCTAGTAAAACTTGACTGAGGTAAGGTAATTTCTCACTTATGCAAATTATGGCAATAAAAATGTAAAACACCAAATTCTGTTGGAGAGGTTGTGGGAAAACAGGCCTCTCTCATACACTGCTGGTGGAAATATAAATTGGTATAACCTTCATGGAGAAAAATTTGACATTTTTAAAACAAAACTGCTTATGCATTTACCTCCTGACATAACACTCCTACCTCTAGGAACACACCCACAATATGAGAATGCACGTTTCTCATATTTCCTTTGCAACACTGTAAATGAAATATATGGAAAATAACCTATATACCCATATACATATATGTATGTGTGTACACACACACACACACACACCATATACATTTATAACTTATATACATTGATGAGTGGTTAAATAAATTGATAGATTACCCAAATGGAGTACTATAAAGTTTGTTTGCTTTTTTTTGGGGGGGTGAGGGTATATGCCCCTAGCGGGAACCAAACCCGGAACTCTCTGGTCCGCACGCCCACACTCCACCCGCTGAGCCAAACCGGCCAGGGCTGTTTGCTTTATTTTAAATGAAGATTTGCAGTGACTTTCAGTATATATAATTTTTGAATGAAAAAAAGCAAAGTTCATAAAAACAACTAAAGATTGCTAATTTTTGTATTAAAAAAGATGAACTAACAAAATATACATACATTTGCTCATCTGTGCAAATAGAAACACAATAAAGATACACTAGGGACTGAGATTAATTATCTACAGGGAATGTATGGGAGTAAAGTGGAAAGCAGAGAGTAGCCAGTTCTCTGAGTATAGTGCTTTGTGTGGTTTTGACTTATAGAACGTATTATACACATATAAAGAAAAAATATAACTCAAATTAGCAAGAAAGAAAAATAAATCCTTAAAATAAAGCACCGTCAGAAACATAGTACTGCATTTCAAATAAAGTACTACATAGAAGAAAGGAGGGGAAAAACACTAACCCAGGTTTTTAAAAATTGAGATACAATTCACATACCATAATATTCACATTTTAAAGTGCACGACTCAGTGGGGTTTTGTATATTGAAAAAACTGTGCAGCCCTGGCCGGTTTGGCTCAGCGGTTAGAGCATCGGCCTGCGGTCTGGAGAGACCCGGGTTCGGTTCCCGCTAAGGGCACGTACCTCGGTTGCAGTTTGTCCCCGGCCCTGGTTGGTTGTGCGGGTGGCAGCCACTCGATGTGTCCCTTTCACGTCGATGTTTCTCTCTCTCTGTTCCTCTCTCTCCCTCCCACTCTACCTGAACAAAAAATGGAAAAATGTCCTCGGGTGAGGATAAAAAAAACAAACAAACAAAAAAAACACAAAAAACTGTGCAACCAACACCCCCATCCAATTCTAGAACACATTCATCAATCTAAAAAAGAAATGCCATACCCATTAGCAGTTCCTCATATACTTCCATCACCCAGCCCCTAGCAATAACTAATCTACTTTTGTTCTCTATGGAGTTCTTTATTCTGAACATGTCATGAAAGTGGAACCATATTTTGTTTTTGGCTTCTTTCTTAACATGATGTTTTCAAAGTTTGTTCATTGTCATTGTACTTCTATCTATCCTTTTTATGGCTAAATAATTCCATTGCATGTAAAGTTGACCCTTGCCCAACATGGGCACAGTCAAACCCTGGCACAAATTTCTGTAACTTTTGACTCCCCCAAAATGTAGTTGTTTTTCCCACAGGGGATTGGTTCCAGGACCCATTTCCTCATGGATAGCAAAATTCACAGATGCTCAAGTTCCCTATTTAAAATGGCATACATAGAGTGATACATGCAGTTGGACCTCCACATCCAGATACCCAACCATGTATCAAAAACAGTACAGGTATTTATTTAAAATATCTGCATATATGTGGACCCATGCAGTTCAATGCTGTGCTGTTCAAGAGGCAACTACATTTACCACTTTTGTTTATTCAGTTGTCAGTTGGATATTTGGGGTGTTTCCTCTTTTATCTATTATGAATAATGTTACTATGAACATTCATGTTCAAGTTTTTGTTTGAACATGTTTTCAATTCTCTTAAGGTATACAGCTATGTGTGGAAATACAGTGTCATTTGAGACTTTGTTATGCCTATGTTGGTAGACTTGATGGTATCCCACAAGTCTTTGTTAATCTATTCATTTTAGTTCTTTATTTCCTGTCCCTCAGACTGGATAATCTTAATGGACCTATATTTAGGTTCACCATATTTTTCTTCTGCCTCTTCAAATCTGCTGTTGAGCCTTTCTGCTCCATGTTTTGCTTCAGTTATTTTACGTTTCAGTTCTTAAGTTTCTTTTTGTCACTTCTTTATCATTTCTATCCCATTTTTTGATATTCCTTATTTGGTGAGACATTGTTCTCAGGCGTTTTTTTAGTTCCTTAGACATGGTTTCTTATGGTTCCTAAAATATATTTAAAATAGCTTATTTAATGTCAAAGTTGAATAAATCCAAAGTCTGGATCTCCCCAAGAACAGTTTCTATTGATTGCTTTTTCCAGCAGTATATGGGTCTTACTTTGTTTCTGCATGTCTTACAATGTTTTCTTGAAAACTAGACATTTTAAATATAATATTACAACTCCAAAAATCAGATATTCCCTTCTCCCCAAGTCTTGTTGTTACTGGTTTTTGTCATTTAGTGACTTTTTTGAACTATTTTTGTGAAGTCTGTATTCTTTGTTGTGTATGTCCACCAAAGTCTCTACCTCATTACCTTAGTAGTACACTAATAACTGGATAGAGATTTCCTTAAATGCCTAGAATCAATACTTCTCTGATTTTTCTGATTGGGCCGTGTGTTGGGGCACACCTTTAACACTTAGCCATAAAGTTGACAATTACTCCTTAGCCTTCATTTCCGGCTTGTGAAAACTCTCCTGTGTCTTTTTGACATGTAAGTTCTTTCTCTAGCAGTAAGAAATATATTGTGCAGGCCAACCAGAGGTGAGAGTTTAGGGCATCCTCAGCTTTTTCCTGAATATGCACACAGTTATGCATGTGACTTCCTTAATTCTAAGAATATGTCAGAAGTTACCAGATTTCCCAAGGATCTTAAATTCTCCATATTTCTTTTTAACTTTTTGATGAACTCTTTGTTTGCCCCAAGTATTATTCACTGCCTCAGGCAACTGTGATGTTGCTTCTTGTGGTTTTCTAAGTGATCTTAGGAAATGACTTAATGCACCGGGCAAGTTTTCAGTCAAGACAGATTTGTAAGTGGGGTTTTCCAGTGAACAACCGAAGTGGTCAAATAATGACAATTCTGAGAGAATATAGTTATGAAACTGACCTCCAGTGGCTGTCAGCTGCTGGTTTTCAAGACTACCAGAGATATGAAAAGCGGGGGATGAGAATAAGGCAAGTTAAAATGTCACAAGGATCATTTTTATGAACATTCAGCCATATATATATATTTTTATACTCCCTAGATTGCTGTAAGCATTTGGTTAATTCCATAGCTCTGAAAAAGTTGATTCTAACAATATGGACAGTTTTCTCGTTGCTTTTTATGGCGAGAAAAGTTTCCAGATGTCCTTACTCCACTATTTTTGCTGATATCACCCCAGAAAATGTTTAAACTTAGTTTTGAGACCATACACCCTCAGGCTAAAGAAAAAAGAACTCTAAACATATATTGAGCTTTGATTAGTAAACTTCTGTTTTGCAGAGGCATCATTAGCAATTCTGAAATGAACTTCTGTGCATTCTTGGGTTGAGAAAAGTAAATGATTGTGGATAATATATATTTCTCACTGTTAGAGAAAGGACTTACATGTCCAAAGGACACAGGAGATAGCTTGAGAAGGCCAGCACTGGTCAAATTAAGGACAAGTTGAGCATCAAAATAAATAATGGTCTTCTATTTCTGACCATTTCGTAATAACAGAAACCAGATTGGCCCTTCTACATTAAACAACTAGAAAACTTAATAAAATTTATAAAACAAAGATTTTCATTTAACGGACAAAAAAGCTGTACAGGATATTAATACCCGAGAGAAAACCAACTAAGTTGAGTGCCTCAGCTCACTACCTGATGTTTCCAAACTACAGTGCAGGGGAAAGGAATGCCAAAGAGCTCAGAGTTTAGATATAGGCTAATGCAATTAAATTCTATGAGGAGAAATACAGAAGAGGAAAAAGATGCACAGAAAGCACTCTCTAGATCTGTAGAAGAGTTCCCTCAAGTTGATGGTATAAGACAGATCTGTGCAATGTGTATGAAGAATCTACCAAGGCAAGGGGCGGGGGGATCACTAGAATGGAGTCAGTGGAACAATCCCAAGAACTTATGCAGTTGCTTGTGTTCTCACCAGACACAATGGAAAGATTTCCTAATAGAAAAAGCATAAGGTAGGGCTTCAGTAGTGGGACCAAATGAGCCCTAGAGCAAGATTTCCCAACCTTAGTTGAGCTTGGTAATTCTTTGTTGTGTATACTGTAGAATGTTGAGCAGCACCCCTGGCCTATACCCACTAGATGTATTCCCTCTCCCCACCTGTGACACCCAAAATACCTCCAGATGTTGTCAAATGTCGTCTGGGGGTAAAAATTGCTCCAAGTTGAGAAATACTACAGACAAGATCATTAAAACAACTATTTATGTTCCACATGTTCAAGGAAGTAGAGAAAAACATGAACAAATGGACTATTACAGCAAAAACAATAACAATGCATTATAGGGTTACAGCAGAAGCAAATGTATGTAAATAACAGAGGCTGGGAGGAAGGAAATTAAAGTGTATTGTGGTAGGGTACTTAGACCATATGTAGAGTGGTAATATTACTACTTGAGGTCAGACTGTGATAAACTAAAGATATATTGTAAACCTTATAAGCCAATAACAGACACAATAAATAAAAATACCCAATAAAAATATAAAATAGAAAGAGGTATCCATGAGATCATATTGAATAAATTTAAAAACTGAATAGAGCTTTCTTAATATAAAAAGCCAGCTAATAATTGTAGAAACTTGAATGTTTTAAAATTACCATTTACAACTACTATAGCAGTAATTGTTTCCAGTAATTATGAATAGTTCATGAAAGTTTAGAACAGTATACAGTCTAAAAGTATGTCCCTACAAGATAACTTTTAATTACAACGAGAAAAATAGTAACTTCCCAGTGGAGAAAACTCATATAGATACTACTTGAAACAAGTTAGAAAAGTTAACATCACCAGGACTAGGTCATATCAACATCATCTGCCTCCTAATATGCACTAGGATAAATACAACATCTCTTCTGTGATGTTCCTGCCAAAAGTGCCTAGCTTGAATTTAATGAGGACGTTAGACAAAGCCAAATAGAGGGACAAAGCAAAATAAACTCTGTGCTTTTGAAAAATGTCAAATGTAACGAAATACTACAACAGATTCAGAAACTATTCCCGGCTAAAGAGACATGACGACTGAATGTAAGGGATGATGCTGGGTTTTTTGTTGTAGTAAAAATACATTGAGACAATTGGCAAAATCCGAATATTTGATAACTGGATTGTGGTAATACAAGAGAATACAGAACAGAGAATGACTTTGTTTTTAAAGAGAGACTATAAATGGGGGAAGGGGAGAGAGGGAAAGAAAAATGAAATGGGAAAAGGGTGACAAGATGGAGAGGGGGAAAGAGGAAGACAAAAAGAGAGAGGGATAAATAGAAGAGGAGGAGGAAGAGAAAGGGAGGAGAGGGCAGATGAAAGCCATGGATAATGAAAATGCAGTAAAATGTTAATGCAGTGGAATTTGGATGCAGGACATTGTGCATTAAAAAACTCTGCTTTGCTTAGAGAATTGTCTTTGTCTTCAGCTTCTTGAAGGCAATCTATGTCATACCTGATTGGCCTATCTTTTTTTTTTTATCCTCACTGGAGGACATTTTTTGCATTTTTTGTTCAGATAGAGTGGAGAAAGGAAGAGAGAGAAACATCGACGTGAAAGGGACACATTGAGTGGCTGCCTCCTGCACGACCCAACCAGGGCCAGGGACAAGTTGCAACCAAGGAACGTGACCTTAGCGGGAACCGAACCTGGGTCTTTCTGGACCACAGGCTGATGCTCTAACTGCTGAACCAAATGGGCCAGGGCCAATTTAGTTATTTTTATTTACTTAACAACCTGTAGTTTCTCCCAGAGCAGCAAAAGTAAAACTTTTGAAGGGATTTTAAAATCCTATTTTCCTTTTATTAACTGTACTATGATGCAGAAAGTAGTCCATTCCTCAGTGAGTCATCTCATAACCTTCTGTTCAGCTATCAGTGGAAATGCTCTTTCAATCACACCTCTTTCAAAATTTGTTCATATAAATTCCAATCTACAATTCCTGATAAAAGGTTTCTATAAGAGTACATGTCCATCTAATTAGATGTCGTACATTCTGAATTTAACAGAAATATTTATATGTAGTAAAATATAAAATCAATTTTTGGTTGTGTTGCTGCATTTAAACAATGTATGTTGCCTAAATAATTGAAACATAATTCAAAAATCCAAAAATGTCCTGGAAAACTAAAACAGTCAAAAAGTACAAGATCACAAATAATTAAAACTATAATAAAATTAATATTTATTTGTATAATTTATTATTTGTACACCCATAATAAACATTACTTTTTTAAAAAAAAACTTACTTTAGGGAGAGGAAAGGATGAACATAGATTTGCTGTTCCACTTATTTATGCATTCATTGGTTGATTATTGTGTATGTCCTGACCAGGGATTGAACCTGCAACTTTGGTGTATTGGGACAATGCTCTAACCAACTGACCTACCCGGCCAGGGCCAAACATTACTATCTTAATCTTAGTTTTCCTAACAAGAATAACTTTTAGCAAAGGTGACCTATTTTAAATAGCTACAATTTCCTCATACGTTTCCATTATTATTTTAAATATATCTCAACTTTTATTTTCAAGGCAAAGAAACACAGACCTAATCCAGTGACATACACTTCATGATAAGCACAATACTTCATGATAAGCACAAATGAGGAATCTGAATTATAATCTAAAAATTCTTTTATACATAAAGTGAACAGTCTGGGAATATTTTTAAAGAACAATTTATGTAGTTGATTTGTGGGAAGTCTCATGTAAACATAACTTGAACACACTTGAAAAAGAGAAATAAAGACAACAACAAACTTATTTCTCCACCCCTTCCAAAGAGACTTATTCAAATATGAGTTTAAATAATGGGCTGGTAAAAAACAAATAGAAGAAAAGAATTTTTGGATGGAAAAGTTCACAAAAAGAGGTACTAATCAATCATCAAACGTAATTTTTTTCCCCTGAAACACAGCAATTTTAGATTGCTGTTCTTTTCGCCTCCTGCTTGCTTCCCATGAAGGATGAAGAGGCAGCGGTGTCTGCTGTTTTGTATTTTCAGGTCCTCTTTGTGCACTCTTAATAAACTGATTCTTGAGCTGAGGGTCATTTTGCTGAAAACCTGGGAAGAGAAAGCAAAAACAATGAAAACTATAGACCCAAACAACATAGAAGAAAAATATATTTCATCATCTCAAATCGGTACTGAAGAAGACATTTAGTTCTTACTGAAACAGAACACCTCACAATTTAAAATCTAAGCCCAAGAGGGAACAGTTTGAAGGTGAAATATACACGAGCAGTCAATTTTGGGACACGTTTCCTAATCCTTGTAAGGAGATGTGTATTGTATAACTCCTAATAGATGCTGTGCTGTCTTAAGAAATATCATTTGCTTATGATATCTGTGTGTGAAGCAAATGTAGCCAGAAAATATACATTTTGACCAAGTTATTGAATCTGACAACATTAAAAGAAGAGATTTATTTTTAAATGGCTGTTAAATGATTTTACTCCCTTCTGTTACTGAACAAAGTTATTACTACAAGGCAAATTACTAAAGCTACTCCACTACAAGACAAAGTTTTGTTTGTCATAAAGTTATCTGCCAGATAGGAGGGTGGCAACTTGTATTCTAGTCCTTAGCCTCTTATATTATGAGGCACTTCAACTCCGTTACTTTGAACAATCAAGTACTGTTTGGGAGAGAGATATTAGCTTGAAAAGACATCAATAAATGCATGTTTAGAGATCAGAAAGAAACAGAGAAGCAGAAAGTTTAATATAGATGTATTAAATCCTAGGGATGTATAATTTTTCCACTGCAATTCAGACAGGACTTTCAAATGCCTTTCAAAGATCTCCTTAAAAAGCAAATGGCATAATGTTTTATAAACAAGTACACAGTTTGGGATAATCTTTCCAAAATACCACTGTACACAAATTTGAAAGGTTCTATATCTTGTACAAATCACACGTGCTCTAGAAATTTATAATACTCAGTGGCTCAAATGATGAAGAATGGACAATTTAAATATTAAATAAAAGTGTTTCAGGATAATTGAGATTTGAATAAGACAGTAGTATTTCTAAACTAATAATATATTTTCTATAATCATGAAAAGTAAATTTGCATGTGTAAATAAAATGATAAATATTATAAATATGTAAGTTAAAGAAAAACATATAAAACTCTTTCATATGGGTCTCCTCACTGGGAAAACGTGGGATTGCCTTTAGTTTAGTTATCCTGTTTGTGAAAATAACGTAGTCTTCTTTTCCTTCTAGAAGCACACCCATAATGTATTTCCTATCACACTACAGTTAAATGAGGCCATGTAACTGAGTTATAGCCAATGGAAGCTTCTATCCTCTCCTTTATTTTTTGTAGCATACTGTCAAATAGCTGGTGCTGTAAACTTCAAAAACATGGAGCCTGCTTCCCAAGTTCACTGCCAACTGCTTTATCTAACTTTAGCACACAAGATGCTCACTTTTCAGCCTCAGATACCTATTTTCTTACCACCTATTACTGAACTGCTATGCCAATACCAAATTTTTATGTTATATTAATGGTTCTACCATATTTCAGAATACCACTCTCAGTATTATACATAGACTTTAAAAAATAACTATCAAATCTTTTTCTTATTCATCAGTCTGTCTGCTCCTTGCAGTCTTTTCCATCTTGTGCTCTAGGAGTTCTTTTTGCTCAGTACTAAACGTGTTTTATGCCTTCTCATTTTTCCTTTAACTGGTTGAGAGTTTTATTAGTTACTTTGCCTCTCCTTTGCCATTAAATATTTGGTATGAGTTGGGGGTAGGTTGTTTTGTTTTTTTTAATATGTTTTTATTAATTTTAGAGAGAGGAGAGGGAGAGAGAGAAACATCAATGCAAGAGAGAAACATCGATTGGCCACCCCCTGCACAGGCATGGAACCCACAACATGGGCACATGCTCTGACTGAGAATTGAACCTGTGACCCCTTGGTGCATGGGATGACTCTCAATCAATGGAGCCACACTGGCCAGGGCCAGTTTGTATTTTTGTTGCACAAGTCACCAAACTCGGAGCAGTCATATCCATGAGACCTGATAGAAAGCACCATACATCACTCAGTAATCCTGGGCTTTGAGGTGGATGGGACTCTGGGTTGGCTCTGTTGGGGAGCAGATAAGTGTGCTCTATGTGTGCAAGGAAAAGTGAAATGGGCATCTGGTGATCAAAAGGATGATCATTATCTGTTCAAGAAATTCCACTTTCATTTTCCTCCTAGCCACAGTCAGACGGCATTTCTTAGCTCCCCTGTGGCTAGACAGGATCATATAATTGAATTTTGCTAATGAAATGTGAATAGAACTGATTCCTGCCAGTTTCAGATCTGGCCCATGCTAACCTCCTACAAAATTCTCCATATACTTTATTTCCTTCTATTGGCCAAATGGAGACTATCTGGGACCTGGAAGAGGAAGGAACCAGAAGTTTGATCCTTGAATGACTATGTGAAACACAGCCTCTCTGATGATTCATGGTGGGCTATGATGTGAGAAATAAATTTTTATTGTTTTAAATCAGTAAATCAGTGAGAGTTTGGAATATGCACAGAAGTCATATTATATTAAATATATTAAACTTAAGTTGTCATAAATAATCTAAAAATACGCTGAGCATCATCCTGTGCACAGAATGGTTGCTGGTTCAATTTCCAATTTCCAGTTAGGGCACAAACAGGGTATGAGAGACAACGAATTAATGTCTGTGAGTCTGTCTGTCTGTCTGTCTCTCTCTCCCTCTTCCCTACTCCCTCCTTTGCTTTGTTTCCATTTCTGTGGGTACGTAATTCATTCAGGATATTGAGCAACCAGAATTTTTCATCCTTCAACTTTGGCAAAGTATTGCTTAATTGCATATGGAGGTCAGCCAGCCATTAATAACATACCTGGGGTGTTGCTTTTCGGAGCCTGTTCTCTATAATTTCTAAAAGAAGAAAAACACCATTAGGACTTTTAAAAGATAAGCGAATCTTCTGACTTAACAGTCAGAGAAAGACAAATACCATATGATTTCACTTACATGTGGCATCTTAAGAACAAAATAAATGAAAAAACAAAATATAAACAGACTAATAGATACAGAGAATAGACTGATGATTGCCGGGGAGGGAGCTTGGGGACTGAATGAAAAAACTTAAGGGATTTAAAAGTACAGATTGGTAGTTAGAAAACAGTAACAGAGATGTAAAGTACAGCATTGGGAATATAGTTAATAATATTGTAATAACTATGTATGGTGCCAGGGGGGTACTAGAAATATTGGAGGGAAACACTGTAAAATATATGACTGTCTAACCACTATGGATATACCCCAAACAAATAATGTTGAATGTAAACAATAATTGAAAAAAATAATTAAATGTTTTGTTTGTTTTTATCCAGAGAGAGAGAGGAAGGGAGAGAAACAATAATGTGAGAGAGAAACACTGGCTGCCTCCTACATGCTCCACACTGAAGGTCAAGCCTACAATCTGGTCATGTGCCCTAACTGGGAATTGAACCAGGATCTCTCAGTCCATGAGATGAGGCTCAGTACACTAAGCCACCCGGCCAAGCAAGAAATAAAATTTAGAAAGAAAAAAAAAAAATCTGCTAAGATGATGATGTAATAAAACTGATATAATTTATTCAGCAAACTATAGTATTCTCCCTCATCCCACCAGCAGTCTTTAAAAAAATTATAAAGCCCCAGGTTTTAACTACATCAAAGGTTTGTTAGGCTCCAATATTACTATAGAAACATATGGGAATTTCCCTCTTTCTATCCTTATAGGGGTTTCTGCTCATAAAATATCCTCTGGTTACCTCATGTTTACCCTTGAGGGCTATACAGACAAAGAATTTCAAAAAATCTCACAGAGATTCGAATGAGTCACATATAACAAAAATTAAGATTTACATTTTGAGGGAGAGGAAAGGATAGTGATGTGTTATTTTCAAATTAGAAAAAAATGTTGCCTTTTGAGGCAGGTTTGAGACAGAGAGAAGTAATATTTTAATTATTTTCAAGGCTCCAAAGATGGTTGTGTGTTTTTTCCATACTCCTACTTCTTTCAAAAAGTTTTAAATCACATTTTTCTATTCTATTAAAAAAATGATCCCTGACCTATAAATACAGAAAAACAGTTTACAGAAGAAAGCAGTTGTTAGTGAAGAAATTAGCTTATCATAATGAAGATACCCCTACCTGACAAAAATTACAAATGAAAATAAACTTATTGATTTAAAACAGAACAGCGGTGAAAAGTGGTGGTTAATAGCAGAGATAGAGACAGCAGCATCAGCAAATATAAAGCAGTCTGGAAAAAGCTGGTTAGGGCAAGCCCCTGTACATACTGAAATGGAAATACATAATAAAATGATTGATGTTGACAATAATGCCCTGGGTCAACCAAAAAAAACCCACATAAAATCACCATATTTTATTCATAAAGTTCTGTTTAAAGAGTGAGATATGTGAAACATTCAAAAGTTTTTCATCTGCCCTGGCCGGTTTGGCTCAGCGGTTAGAGCGTCAACACTCAGACCGGAGAGTCTCTGGGTTCGGTTCCCACTAAGAGCATGTATCTCGGTTGCAGTTTGTCCCTGGCCCCGGTTGGAGTCCTGTGGGTGGCAGGCAGTCGATGTGTGTCTTTCACATTGATGTTTCTCTCTCTATTCCTCCCTCTCTCCCCCCTGCTCTATCAGAAGAAAAAAGAAAAAAAAAAAAAAGTCCTCAGGTGAGGATAAAAAAAAAAGTTAAAAGTTTTTTTTATCAAAAACTACCTCCAAGTTTCAAAATTTTGATAATTGAAGAGATAACCTTAAATTAGCTAGACAAATTATTTGGCTATAACATCTCATTTTCTTATGAAGCTAGACAAATGTGTCTTTGCCATAAGTGTATTTGTGTATATTACACTAACATACAGTGGGAGAGGTCCAAGTCACAGGATGTATTTTATATAAATTAGAATTATGTATGTGAGGGAGTCTTTCTTCTCTCATTATTAGAATGTGTGAATATTTAATATTTTTTTGAAATTAAAAATTAAGAACGAATAATTATTTCAGAATACAAAAATATAATTACCTTCTAGAGCTTTTAGATCCAGATAAAGAATGGAAAAACACTGATTCAAACTTCCTTGATTCTGTACCTGGCCTGTTTTTGTCGTTTCTTATACCCTGATGGGTTTCAAGTATATTTTCTTCATGGAACACCTTCTGGGGGGATTTTTGTTCCAAAACTGAAGAATGGTGACTACTTTCCTTCTTTCGTGTCCGTCTGACTTTCCCAATGAAAAAGTCATCACCACTATCACTATCCTCCGACATGGAAGACTGTTTGTAAAACCTTTCCTCTGTGCTATCATCAAAATACTCCTTCTCTTCTTCATGTGATTCTTCTCCATCACTGTTACCACCAAGTGAACTACTGGACTCTTTCTTTTCTTTGGTGTGACATAACATTTTCATATTCGGGTTAGCAGGTGTCTTCTTCTGGGGTTCAGAGGGAACAACAGAATCCTTTTCAGAAGGCTTTGATGAAGAATTTGGAATGTCCACTGTTTTGGGTCCATGTTCCATCTTGGCTGTTTTTTCTTTTGAACTATTTATTGGTTTCTTTGCCAATATTTTGGCTTCTTTGTCTTTTTGATCACTGATAATAGCTCCTTCATGCTGTAACTTAATGGCATCATCATTCGAACATGAAGTGCCCTTGGAATGATTTTCTTCTGAGGCATTCTTTAATGACTTAACTTCAGTATCATTTTGTCTTGCATCTCTAAAGGCTTTGACAGCAGCTGCAAGAGAAATAGCACACAACTTGTTTCAGCACTGAAACAAATAATATAAAAAATATCACTGTCTCAGTGTAGTATTTCTTAAATTATTTAGAACACTTAGGATAACTTATGCATTATATTAGAAACAATCATGTACCACACAATGACTTTCCATTAATAATGGACGGCATACATGGTGGTGGTTGCCTAAAATTATAATGGAGCCTAGGTGTGAAGAAGACTATACATTCTAATTATGTAAGTGGTCTCTATGATATTCACGTAATTATGAAATTGCCTAACAACGCATTTCTCAGAATGTATCCCTGTCGTTAAGTGATGCATGACTGTATATATAATGAATGGGTCTGAATTCACCAAGATATCTACTGACTTTATAGAAACCAAATTTATAAGAAACGTTCAGGAGTATCATTTAAAATCTAAAATTCAAATGGCAACTTTTATTTCTGTAGGAATAATGTATTGATATAATTGTAGAGCATTATACACTGGCCTTCAGCCATAAAAATAAGTATCTTCTAATCTGTGACAAAAGCATTTAACTCTTTCAATACATTTTATAATACACATATACATAAAATAATGTGGCTAAGTAGTAGCAACATCAAAAGTAATAATATGAATTACATCTATAATTAGAAAATCAACTGTATTTAATATTATCATGAATATATATTATATATATCCATATATTAGAATTGAGAAAAAATGCAGATTTAGTTTACTTCAGGTGTCAGATACCTTCCATATTTTGAAGCCACTTCCCACATATGGAAATATTTAAGAGAGATATTTATAATATTTAAATTTTTAAATATTTATAATATAAAAGATCCTTGAAGAGAAAAAGAACCAAAAGCACTAAAAAATTAACAGTCATTTATTCAAAATAATATACACAAATGCATTTTAAGTACATTGCTTAAAGTCATTTAATTCATACCTTTTAGCACATCTATTTTCTTCTTCAGAAGAGGGTGCATTGCTAATCTGGCAATTGCTCTTTCAGTCGCAGTAGAATCAGGCTGCAAATTGAAACAAAATTCATTGTGACAAAAATATTACTGTCCTTGAACAATTATAATTATCGTGTAATCAATAAATAAATATTCTTTGGTATTTAATAGCTTCCCAAAATTGTGGTAGGCATCATGTGTGATATTTACAAAATATAATATAGCTCCTGCTTTCAAATAACTTAAAAGATGAAGTTAAGGCTAAATTAATATGAAAGAATCAAATAACATATAGTATTAAGCTCAGTGATATAACTTACTATTATAATGTTTGAACTTCCATTTAATAGACACCTAGAAATTATCTAATCCTATGTATTTATGTTTTGAATGTCCAGTATTACTACTGCATTCTAGTAGGAGGTAAGTCTTTATTTAGCTCATTAGAGATGGAGGTAGAAATTTGGAAGTTATTAGCCTATAGATGATATTTAAAGCAGTTAACTAGTTAAAAGAGAATGCTTTGATTTCTTTCTCAAACCTACTTCTACTATAGTCCTTCCCATCTTACAGTATGTAATTTCAATTTTCTGGTTGCACAGACCTTTTAAAATTCTAAGGATTCTTCCATTATAATTTTCCTTCCTTCACATCTCATGATTAATACCATCAGTAAATCCTGTGGTTCCAGCTGCAAAACATTCTCAGAACCAGTCACTTCTCACCACTTCTACTCTTACTACCTTTGACCAACTCACCAATGGTCTTCTCACTTGGACCAATGTGATAAGGTCATAACTGGTCACTCTCCTTAGCATCTTGCTCCCAAACAGCCAATTTCCCCTATAACAATCATAATGAGCTTTTAAAATATAACCAGATCATGCTATCTGTTCTTGATGCTTAAGTTTTTCCATTGTACGATATTCCCTACCTGGAATACTCTACTTCTAAAATATACATGGTTGATCATCTCACTGTATTCCTGTCTCTGCTAAAATGTTATCGAAATTAACACACTTGCCATCACTCCTCCTTTATTTCACATCACCTAATGCTTCATGCCAGTACAGATATTTGCATATCTGTAAGGCAAAGACTTTGTCTTCTTCATTGCTGACCCAGTGCCTAGTACAGTAATGAGTAATGGTTGGCATCTAATAAATACTCCATAAAGCAAGTGAATACATTTCACTAGTGTGTGCAAGTAGAGCTACCAGCTTTAAACATCTTTATTTTAAATTTACCCTTCCTTGTAATTAGCCCAATATAAGATTTTTTCCCCTGCCAGTAATACAAACTTAGGAGTATCTAAGTAAAAGCAAGATTCTGTTTGGAAGACTGATTTAGGTAATGTCACCCAGCATACTGTCTGGTGGCCAGTGTGCTCCTTCCCAGACATGTGGGGAAAAGCAGCAGCCCCGCCCACAGATTCAGTCTTTCCCAGGTGAGGCAAAGAAATGCAAATTGAGGCTTATTAATAACCAGTATCTATCCCACCCTCTGGAAATCCTCTCATGCAGAACACCAGGGCTACATTCAAAGGCACTAAAAAACTGAGACTACTAGCCTCCAAGAAAAAGCTAGAGGATAACTGAACCTTCCCTGGGCTTACAAATCTACCCAGGAAAGTAAGATTTGACAGTGGTGTTTAAAGTGGGCCCACCCAGGCTCATCCAAACCCAGTAGAGAGAGCAACAAACAGCAGAACACCATCACCCACAGGGAAAATTTGGCAGGCTCCAAAACCCACTGAGATAGCCAAAATGGTGAAACAGAGAGACAAATCCCAAATAAAAGAACAAGAGAACTCTATTGAAGATGAGAGCAATGAAATGCAGCTAAGCAAATTATCAGAGGTAGAGTTCATATTAAAGCAGTTAACTAGTTAAAAGAGAATGCTTTGACTTCTTTCTCAAACCTACTTCTACTATAGTTCAAATTATCAGAGCCATGATCTTGAGGAAGCTCAACAGCATGAGTAAAGACATCAGCACCATGAGTAAAGATATAGAAACACTGAAAACCAACCAAGTGGAAATGAAGAATGACATAGCAGAAATAAAGAACACATTGGAAGGACTAACCAGCAGAGTAGAGGAAGCTGAGGACCGGTTCAGTAATTAGAAGACAGGTAGAAAAAAATCAACCAATCAGAAAACCAAAAGGAAAAAAGATTAAAAAACAGGAAGACAGCTTAAGAGAACTGTGGGACAACTGGAAATGTAGTAACATTCGCATCATAGGAGTCCCCAAAGAGGAAGAAAATGGGCAAGGGTTAGAGAATATATTTGAAGAAATAGTGACAGAAAACTTTCCTAACTTGGTGAAAGAAGGCATTCAAGTTCAAGAAGCACAGAGAGCCCCAAGTAAGAAGAACCCAAACAGACCCACACCAAGACACATAATAATTAAAATGCCAAAAATTAAAGACAAAGAGAGAATCCTAAAGGCAGCAAGAGATAAGCAACAGGTTACCTACAAAGGAAACCCCACAAGGATCTCAGCTGACTTCTCAACAGAACTCTACAGGCCACAAGGGAGTGGCATAAAGTAATCAAGGTCATGAAAAACAAGAATCTGAATCCAAGACTACTCTATCCAGCAAAGGTATCATTCAAAATAGAAGGTCAAATAAAGAGCTCAGCAATCTGGGATTAGAGGGATCATATCTCAATATAATAAAAGCCATACATGAAAAACCTACAGCCAACATCATACTCAATGAGCAAAAATTAAAGGATTTCCCTTAAGAACAGGAACAAGACAAGGATGCCCACTTTCGCCACTCTTATTTAACATAGTACTGGGAGTCTTAGCCACAGCAATCAGACAGGAAGGAAAAATAAAAGGGATCCAAATTGGAAAGGAGGAAGTGAAACTGTCATTATTTGCAGATGACATGATACTATACGTAGAAAACGCCAAAACTCCACCAAAAATTTACTAGACTTAATAAATGAATTTGGCAAAGTAGCAGGATACAAAATTAACGTCAAGAAATCCATGGCATTCTTATACACCAATGATGAACTCACAGAAAGAGAAACTAAGAAAACAATCCCATTTACCATTGCAGCAAAAAAATTAAGATACCCAGGAATAAACTTAACCAAAGAAATAAAGGACCTATTCACAGCAAACCAGAGGTCACTGAAAAAAGAAATAGAGGAAGATATAGAAAAAAGTGGAAGCACATATCCTGTTCATGGATTAGAAGAATTAACATCATTAAAATGTCCATACTACTCAATGCAATCTATAGATTCAATGCAATCCCCATCAAAATACCAACAACATACTTCATAGAACTAGAACAAATATTTGAAAAGTTCATATGGAACCAAAAAAGACCTCGAATAGCCACAGCAATCTTGAAAAAGAAGAACAAAGTTGGAGGGATCACATTACCAGATTTCAGGTTATACTACAAAGCCACTGTAATCAAAACAGCCTGGTACTGGCACAAGAACAGGCAGATAGTTCAATGGAACAGAATAGAGAACCCAGAAATGGACCCAAGACAATATGCTCAATTAATATTTGACAAAGGTGGCAACAACATACAGAGGAGTAAAGATAGCCTCTTTAATAAATGGTGTTGGGAAAATTGGACAGTTACATGCAAAAAAAAAATGAAACTAGACCATCACCTTACACCATACACAAGAATAAACTCAACGTGAATAAAAGACTTCAATGTGGCTCATGAATCCATAAAAATCCTAGAAGAAACTGTAGGCAACAAAATTTCAGAAATCATACGCCTCAGAATTTTCACTGATACATCACCTAAGGCAATAGAAACAAAGGAGAAAATGAACACATGGGACTACATCAAACTCAAAAGCTTCTGCACAGCGAAAGATACAATCATCAAAACGGAAAGGCTACCCACTGTATGGGAGAGCATAATTTCCAATGATATATCAGATAAGGGGTTAATTTCCAATATATATAGAGTGTTCATACCACTCAACAAAAGGAAGACGAAGAACCCAATTAAAAAATGGGCAGAGGACCTAAATAGACACCTCTCCAAACAGGACATACAAATGGCTAAGAGACATGTGAAGAAATGTTCACATCACAAATCATCAGAGATGCAAATTAAAACAACAATGAGGTATCACCTCACACCTGTCAGAATGGCCACCGCCAACAAATTATTAAACGACAAGTGCTGGCGAGGGTGTGGAGAAAAGGGGACTCTAGTACACTGCTGGTAGGAATGCAGACTGGTGCAGCCACTATGTAAAACACTATGGTGTTACCTCAAAAAATTAAATACTGAACTGCCATTTGACCCAATGATCCCACTTCTAGGAATATACCCTAAGAAGCCTGAATCACCAATCAGAAAGAATATATGTACCCCCATGTTTGTAGCAGCACTATTTACAATAGCTAAGATCTGGAAACAGCCCAAATGTCCATCAGTAGATGAATGGATAAAAAAGCAGTGGTACATATACACAATGGAGTACTATGCAGCGGTAAGAAAGAAAGATCTATCCTTTGAGACGGCATGGAAGAACCTGGAAAGTATTATCCTAAGCGAAACAAGCCAAACAGAGAAAGACAAGTATCATATGATCTCACTTATTTGTGGAATATAATGAAAATAACACTCTGAGGAATGGGGTAGTCCCAGAGATGTGGAAGTGGGGTACAGACTGACAATCCCCAGAAGAGGGGGTGGTGGGTGAGAGATAAACCACAGAACTTATATAGCTGTATGCTTGAACAATGGACATGGGCAACAAAGCTGGGGACAGGGCGGGTAGGGAGGGGCAGGGGAAAATCAGTGGGGGGAAAAGGAGAAACATCTGTAATAAAAATTAATTAATTAATGAATAAAAGAAAAGAAGAAATCACACTAGATTAGGGTGGGTCCTAAATCTAATATGACTGGTATTTCTTAAGGAGTGCATCTGGATACAGAGAGACAGAAAGGGAAGAAGTCTGAAGCAGAGATTAAAATTATACTGCCACAAGCCGAGGAAGGCCTAGGGACACCAAAGTTTGGAAGAAGGAAGGGTTCTTTCCTAGGAACTTTTAAGGAAATA